GCACCCCCCCGCATCCCACGGCCTCCCCCCGGCAGCCCGGCCACTCGGACATTAGCGGAGATGATTAAATTACAGCGAGTAAATTGGTTACTTGAGGAAACAGACTTTTTTTTTTTTTTTTTCTTTCCATTAAGGGGACATTCGCGAACCGCCGCGGATTTCTGAAAGTCTATTTATTTTCAGTAAGCAGCTGCAAAAACATTTGCAAACAAATTTCAGCCCCGCCTATGCTTTGCAGGCTGTTCCGCGCCGTTTCGGTCAGGCGGTTTCGCATCGATCCGACAGCAACGCTTTGCACATCACTGCCACGTAATATTAACAGGGATGGTTTCATTCCTGTCCAGCGAGCGATAAACCCTCTAGTTTACACGTTGAGCGCTGGTCGGGTGCAACACACTCGCATCCCAGCACAGCAAAAATAAAAATAGTTAACGGAGATGTACCCCAGGCACAAGCAATAAGGGTTATGGACAGAGGAATAAATATTCTACTCACCCCAAGTACACTTTGCTAACCCCACGTTCCTCTCCTCCGACTGAATCCCACCCAACCCGATTAAAACAGAATCGGCCGTTGTTGCAACACGAACTCGTGAGAGAGGGGTCGGCTTTCCCAGCCCCTCTCCTGGAAAAAAAGGGGGATTTGCACCTTAGAGAGGACCAGAATTGAAGCTGTTTTGCACATCCCGGTGTGGCAGGGGGTTAGGAAAGGGCTGGCGGTGTGAAACCTTCGCAGTAAAGTATGCTGCAGGTCTGCAGGAGGCTTGGAATTAAAGCCCAAATAGCTTTAATAAATCTGATGAGTTGATTTCAGTTTCGAAGAAGTTAGTACAGCAGCCCTTATTCTCTTATTAGGACATTTAAGCAGCCCCCTATTAAGAGATTAGTAAATATTGAGCGTTGTAGGGCTTCTTAAGCACGCTGTTTATGATATTGCTGCTTAAAATTATTTCTGTTTAAATACTTATGTCTAAAAATGGCATTACTAGTGTCAGATGCCTGTGTTGAAATTTCAGACCGCGGGTTTGAGAAGCCCCGAAACCTTCCCCAGGGGTATCCCCCCCCCCCGGCCATGGAAATCCCACCTGGGTTTGTAGAAATTGTTTTTTCATCCCCCTGAAACACAAAGAAGAAAAATCGCTTCAGTATTCCTTGATTTGTGAATACTTGTCATCTCCTGCAGCCCAGACCAAACCCAAGAGAGCTGCCAAGAACAAATAACTACCGTTTCCATAGATTAGGAGATGAATCATTCACGTTATTTTTAGCAGGTCATTAAGGGCTGGCAGCAAAATTTGCAAACTGACTTGTGGGGCTTTTGATTCGTGTTAGCATAACCTTTTAAAGAAAACATAAACTGGGATTTAGAACAAAGGAAATTGAAGGACTGGAAATAATATCTGTAAATTTTAAAATGACAGTGAAAGATTAAAACAAATAGACTTCATGCGAGTCTCCCACTCGCTCAGCTCTCTCATTTAAACACAGCGTAGCTAAACAAATACAAGTGATGGGTTTTATAGAAAAGGTGCTAGGATAAGGCTTCCTCCCCACCCCGGGGATATTTACGTGCCCTGGGTAGGGATGCTGCAGCCGCCGGGAAAAGCTGGTCCCCGCCGGACACCCCGATCCAACGGAGAGGGAGCTTCCCGCCTCCCCGGCCCGCTCGGGGGACAGGGCAGCAATTTGGGGGCTTCGGAGGCAGCCGGGGACAAGCTGGGCTGGCAGCGAGCGGGCCCCGCAGCCAAGCTTCCTAAAAATCTGTGTTTGGTAAAGCAGTAAGGAGCTACGTATGAACCATTTAACGGCTACTCCTCTTTTCCCGCGCTGCCGGCCGCGCGATGCGTGCCGACCGCAGGAGGAAAGCCAGGGACCGGCCCGGGAAAACTAAACGCCGGCGTGCCCGGGGCGAGCAGGGCCGCTCTGTGCTGCAGCTACCCCAAACCCTCGGCGGGCAGCCAGCCGGACGGCAGCCCGGCCCCCCAGCCACACACCCCGGCTGCAGAGCCGTGGACGAACGACACGCCGGGACGGGTTCAGTGTGGGTGATAGAGCATCAGTCAGCGTGTGTGTTTATTGCTCCAGGGTACATATATTTATACAGACAATGATAATTATTACGCCTACTAGTCACTAGCTGATTGGCTTAAGCTCTAAAGGTCATATTCGCATGGTCCACCTACTTGCAGTGAGCTTACAGCCCAAGCTTCTCATAACACTAAGTTTCTCATGCCACTATTTCTGATTCCTGTTGACTTGTTTTCGATACACGACAGTACCGTAACACAATGTTTCTCAGACCACCGTTACCATAACACTGGGTTTCTCAGACCACTATTCCTAATTCCCCTTAACCTGCTTTCGACACACCACGGTACACAGGGCTGAAGCGTCCTTGCCATTCCTCCTGTATCAGCAGCTGCGAGCAGCTGCAGGCAAACCCTAGTGAGGCCCAGCATCAGCAGCTAGAGCAGGCTCTGATCATACAATTGCTCGGTGGGCTCAGGACCCTTGTCTCTGAGCCATTCTCCAACACCCAGCAGCCAAATTTCTGCCCGGGCGAGTCTGAGGCTGGGCTTGCACGTACACCTTCCCAAACGCGGAGGGGCTTTGCGCTAAAAGGGAGCCCAAACGCGGCTCGGAGGGGGGTGCCAGCCAGCAGCTTTCCCGTTTTTCACTGTAAAACGCGCTCTAATCCGTAGCGTTACCAGCGCGTCCGTCCCGCGGGCGGTTCCCAGCCCCAGCGAGGCCCAGCAGGATCCTGAGGCTCGAGCTGGTTGGGGGTCTAACGCCGCGGTGCGTGAAGGTGCGGGCGCTGGCGCTGTCCCCAGGCCATCGTCGGGCCGCACAACCCGCCTGCCCGCCGCGCAGAGCCGGGGCGAGCCCAATACGAGCAAGGAGATGGGGCAAGGAGGGGTGCTGCTGCTCAGCTCGGGGGTCACCCCGGAGCAAGGAGGGCGCGGGGCTGGGGTGTCCCCGCAAACGGAGCGCCTCGCACCGTGTGTGTGTGTGTCCCGGGGTCACCCCGCTGCTGGCCTGGCTACCCCGGGGAGCAGGAAGGCGGCCCCGGAGCTGGGGGGGGGGTCCCCTTCAGCAGGAGCTGCTGTTGCCACCAAACCTCGGGAGTACGGTCGGAAATACAGGCGAGGGGGGGCTGCACCGAAGGGGAACCCCGCATTTCAGGGAAAGGTGGGCCGAGGGATCGTCGCGGGCGTGAGGCCCCGTACCCTCTGGCTGACCACCCACCCGGGCTTTTCAGCAGCTCTGAAATAAAGCTCCGAAAGCACCCGCGCGGGGCTCGGCTGCTCGCAGGAGCCCGGGGAGGGCTAAATCTGGCTCCAGCTTTATCAGCTCCGCAGCGGTCGTCAAATTCAAGGGCTCGGGTTCAAGGCTCAAAGGCAGAGAGGACGCTCTGCCGCGGTCGCAGGGAGGTAAATGAGAGCACACGGCGCGCGGGGAGGTGGGTTTCGATGAGATGAAGTGCCTGTCTTTTCTGAAGGGGGGAAATTTGGTGTCAAAAAAAGCTCAGCGCTCAAGAAGGGGGTGAAAAGCGCCGCACCCGAATATCCGAGGGCAGAGGAGAGCTGCTGCCTCATTATCTGCTGCTCAGCCTCCTAACAGAAAGCCCCGTCTCCTTTACTAGCGGGTTCAATAAAGCTCATTTCTCCACAGGTAATGAAATAGCACCTGTCCACTTACAGTAACGTGGATAACTGATGAAATCAGCTCTCGTCCTCCCCCGCGTGTCCCCTCAGACCTCATTACTGGGTTCCCAGCACAGGCACATCCATCCGCGGATGGCTGGCGGGGACGATGCTCTGCAGAAAACGAGGGAGCAGGCGGCCCCGTCCCCACCAGCCGGAGCAAAACCCCCCGTGCCACGGCTGGGCAAAGCCCCTCCTCAGACGGGCCGGGGGCAGATGTCTGGGGACGTGGGGAGCTGCACTAACCCCGGGGATGGGGGACAAGCGAAACGCACGGCAACAGATGCCTCTGCTGGAAATCCTGCAACGGTTTTGTTCGGATTTTTGCGCTGAAGAATGGATTTAATATGGAGTAAATTGAATTTAGCCTTTGCTGTAAATGGAGGCGTTTGTTTCTTTGAGTCTCAGGGGGAGTTTTCATTAATTATACTGAGCCCAGTGGACAAGCTGGCAAGAAATTTGTTCCCAAGGAAAAAAAAAAGCAAGCCAAAGATAAACTTCAGTATGGTTTTCATATATAGTAGAAAAAAGAAAAAAAACAACAAAACAAAAAAAAAAAATAACAAAAAAAACCCCTGTATTTCAGCATTAGGGATTAACGGTGAATTTTGCCACCTGAAATGTATCTCTGAGAATTATAGGCACAGTGGGCAAGCTGCTCACAGAGAGCAGAGGTGGGACACGGGGCCGTGCCCTTGCTGCAGGACGGCGTGGGCCGGGCTCAGCTCCCTCCTGCCTGGGTCCTCCCAAACCCCCAGTCCCCCCCAGCGCGCTCCCAGGCGCAGAAACCTTCCTCCTGCCCACAGCCCGGAGCTCCCGCCCAGGGCCGGGGGCAGAAAAGCCCCTTTCCCCCCTGGGCCTGACCAGATTTCTCTTTTTCTCCCAAGCAATGCTGAGGTTGGACGGAGTCCCACCAAGGGCTTCCGTGGTCCTCCATCTCCTGGTTTGCTTCTTCGAGGACCGGAGGTGCGAGGGCAGGGCTCCAGGGGCACCAGCTTGCTGGGGAAGGCAGGGAGCCCTGCCAGAGACGCGCCTGGAGCTCCCCACCGCCGATTCTTCAGCTGAAGCGCCAGAGAATTATTTTCAGTGTCGAAGCCCCCGCGTAAGGCTTGGTGTTAGGCACCGAGGCCGTTTCAAAACAAGCCTTTGGGAAAGGCAACAGCACCAGGGAAAACGCACACATGAAGGAGGACACCAGCACTGTTCTCCCAGTTCAGACATCTCTGGAAGGCAGGCAGGGAGGAAAGGAGAAAAGGAGGGCAGTGCTTTTCGGCGGATTTCAATATTCTTGTTAAACTTTTCTTTTAAAAAATAATTTATTTCTCCGAGGAAGGCAGTCTTCATTATGGGGAACTGGTGAATGAGCTTCTCCCCTCTGTCTGTGGCAGCAAAGAAGCGAGAGGCAGGACAAGGAGCGCCACGCAGAAGGAAAACGCTGAAGCAGCACAGGCACCTCCTGGTGCTGAAAGAAAGAGGAGCTGCCTTCGCGTTTGCTGCAGAGAGAGCTCAGCAACCCAGATGAGAATTTTAGTAACGGCACAGCACATATCTGGGAGACGAAAGGACAGAAGGGATTTAACTGAGTTAGTCACGATGCTCATTAGCTGCGTTTTGCACGTGAGGTCGCAGCACGTGAGGCACCAGGATGGGGCTGTTCTGGGGGGTCTGCAAAGGGACCGGGGCAGCCGGGGGGGGACCCTATCCCCGAGGCAAACCCAGCACAGAGCTCAGGCTGCCGGTCAGAACACGCCCCCCTAGGAAACGCAGGATGAGCCCAAGGAGACCACATCCCATCTAAAAAGCAACAGGATCAAAGAAAGTTCAGTGAGCCAAATACTGGGAACCTGGGGAATTTTTTAGGATTTGGGATGTCTGATTGCTTTTGCTTTTACTTTTATTATTCGCTATCTTTGCTTCTTTTCATGTTCACTCTCTCTTCTATTTTGCCCATGAGAAGTATCCCGGTTTGACTTTCTGAGATACTTCTCGCTTCAGACAAACATTTGGTTTGACATCTCAAATGGTACTCTAGCTAAATTTTAAATCTAAACTTCCCACTTGCCCATCTTAACATATTGCTGAAACTGGCTGTGAACTTGCCGCTTGGATGAAATCACTCACCAAAAGCGGGTGTGAAAGAACTCTGAAATGAAGCCTGGGAACAGAAAACATCACTTGTGGCTGGAACTGATCTGTTTCTGCTCTTCTCTATGTGTCCAAGCGAAAGAATTCCTTTTACGTTCATCTGTCCTCATGAAAGCCTAGAAGAGGAGAAGAGATAAATGATGAACATAATCTAAATATAAAGATTTTCTTCATTCTTAGAGCCTTTGTGACACGTTCTCTTGGGAAATTTCCCAACTGAGATGGAATTTCGCTCCGTTCTTTGCAGATCTCCCTTTCCTCTTGTGAAACACATGAAGCCTTTTAGAGTCAGTAATTACGATGGCAATAACCGTGCCATGGTGAGAACACAACAGGCATCTGGGAAACACAGGCAGACGTGGAAATAATAAAAAAATACCCTAACTATGAAACTTTCCTACCCAAACTCTGGGGCACAGCGAGAGGGGAACCACTTGGTCTGCAGACACTCTGTGATGGCACCAGCACCTCCAGCCTCACCCCGTTCCCCTCGGGAGCGAAGGTCCACGGGGTGAAATGTGTGGCTACACCTTAAGCGGGGCAGCGGCCCCGCTCCGGCGGCCGGTGCAGACCCGCAGAGCGGCTGAAGGCTGCCCAAACTCCCCATCCCATCTTGCAGTCAGGCACGGTCGTTTCTGAGAGGTAAAGAAACACCTCGCACGCTTGGGAAAGGAGACGCAGTCCGTAGAATTGCTTATAAAATGGAGCTTGTCCAAATCTGTCAACGAGCTAAAGAAGGGAAAGTGCGGCCGGTTAGAGGGCTTGGCTTCCTCCTTCCACGGTGTGTCAGATGGTTTTCAAGACACAGCTGGCAGACCGTAACATTTCTTATAGGTGTTTCGATACCCTCTTACTCTCAGTCAGAACTTTTTAAGCATTTGGGAGACCTGGATTGAGACCCGGACTGTTCTTTGCTCCCTTGGCAGGACCAAGCCCAGGTCCTGTCCCCTCCCCTGACCTGATCCCCCCGCCCAGGTCCGTAGCACAGCGGGGCTGGGGGATGAAGAGATGCCGATATGGCAGAAAAGGTGCAAACAGTTCACACACTCCAACCCAATAAATACATGATGAAAGGCTTTCCATGCGCCCAGATGGTGGAACTGACCTAAACTTTGCATTAAACGAGCTTCGCAGCTGGGCTATAAATCACGGAGGGAGCTGTGGAGCAGGGTGGATATTCCCACTCCTTTTACGGGACCCCAGAGGATCCTTTCCAGCTCCTCTGCCAAAGGATGAATTCAGGAGAAAATTGCCAGCATGATTGTTTCAGCTATATATATAGTGGTCTCCAGCGTGAGGATTTTGCAAATCTAAATAAACTGATCACAGAGGGTTACTTGAAGAAGTTAAGAAAAATGTATGTCTGAGAAACCAGATGGGATTTGGTCTTGAATGTGGACGACAATCTGAACTTCATACTGTTGTATCTGAAATAAATATTACTGCCACCAAGAACTGCAACACATTTTCTGAGAGCAAAAAGCAGTTTAGGCTTGGGTTTACAGGTTACCCTTGGGAATATAGGTATCCTGTTTCTCAGGGAATTAGGAATCTTAATCTTCTTGTGCTCCTCTGAAAACCAGAGATTTCAGATCCAAAAAATACTTCTACATACTTTAGAAATACATTTAAATAAAAGTCCAGTTTTAATGATTGCAGGGAGGATAAATTGGGAAGAAGACAGAGTTTACTATGAAGGAGTGCTGGTAATTGAAGAATTAATTCTGCACTGAAGCTGGGGCATTATCTGAGACATGGTTCCTGCTGGTGCTGTGACAAACCTCCCCAGTGCCTCCGAGGAGTCACACCTCCAGCATCCCCGCCGTCCCGGGCTCGGCTCAGCTCGCGGCTGCGTGGGGTACCCGGGAGCAGGAGGAGGATCTTCCCACAGCAGCCCAGTTTAGCGCTAGTCAAAAAAAGTAGGGGGAAAATGAATTTTTTTAGTTCCATTCAAAAAACGAATGCAGCCTTCCCCAGGGACAGAGGAATAAAACGAGCCCCATTTACGGCCACCTCACATTATTAGAGCTTCAAGTCCTCCCACTTGTCACATCCATCTAAAAAGCTGTGACGACTTAATTTACTCATTCCAAATAACCTCGATATTTAGCCAAGATACGGGTGAAATTCTAGCCACGCACTCCAGTTGCTTCATTAATTCCAGACACTCATGCCGACCTAGGATTTTCAGGCTTTTTAAGAGCACTCTGCAGCTTTCGACATGCAAGAAATTTACCCGAAATTTCTAGTGTCCAACCTAATTAAAAAAGCGAGAGGAAATGGCTGCAAAACCCTTTGTGATTTCTAAAAGGCATCAATATCTATAGTCCTTAATTCATCTTCACTCTCTCAAATACTGCACATCGATTGACAAGTGAATTTTCCTCGTCAATAGATCAAATACTCTCAACTAGTAAGTGCTGCTAATTGGATTTTTTTCCTCCTGTAAATGGCAGGACTGCACCGCAGGGATGCGCCTCCTTTCAAGGACTTTGGAGGGATGGGCTCGGAACTGCTTCTCACACGTGACTGGCAGGGGACATAAAAAGCCCCGAGTCACCAGACTTTTCTCAGAGAACGGTGTCAGGCTCGCAACATCTCTTTTTTTTTTTTTTCATCAAATCTTTCCCTTTCTTTCCACTTCTGCCCTCAGCAATGCCGCGACAGCCCCAGGGGCGTGAGCTGAGGCGCAAGCCCTGGTCGGTAAGGCTGGGGCCAGCAGACACCCGTGTAGAGAAACACGGGGAGGAAACACGGGCAGTTACCCAGCCTTTTGTCTTAATAAAGCGGGAGGATAATAGAATAGGTGAAAAATGCATTATGACAGAGAGGAAAAATAGATTTTTGTGGTTGCTCATCGAGCGAGAAATGAAGGTTGAAACCTTTGGAGGGAAAAAAAAAAAAAATCTTTCAATCCCCTCCCCTGCTCCGACATCGCGGGGATCCTGCTGGTGGGATGGGGATGAGTCTCCAACCCCAGCAACTGCCCGGAGAGACCTGGGTGTCTGTGGAGACCGAGGAGTCCTCACCCCCCACGAGCTGAGTGGGGGGAAATTCTGGGAACCTGGAGCTGGCTTTGGCCACGGCGAGGCAGGCAGGGCAGGGGCCACAGCTCTATTTACCTTTTACACCACCTGGCTTTTTAGCAAGACAAGAGAGAATCAATATTGTCCTAATGGAAGATGATAAAAGGGAGAAATAAAAACTGCATTTGTAAGTCAGCTACTGCACACAATAGCAGATAAAAAAATTATGAAGCACTTATCAGGCTCAGACTCATTTTAGCGTTTCACAAAGACATGCCTGCAATGGTCAGGAAGCTGTGCCACTACATAAGTGCATCTGCTTTGCTGGCGTTAATGCCTTTGAGTCCACTAAATCCATAAATGTGCAGGATACCAAGCTGCCATTTCCCAGCTTGTGCCCTGACACGGACCTACAGCAGCAGGAGAAGATGAAGCGTCTTCGTATTTCTGTGTTCAGGGTCAGCGGTGACAGCAAGGGCCAGACTGCAAATCTGCAAAATGGGCGAGTGTCTCCACTGAAATGGAAAATATGTATGGTATCGCTTGACATTTTCTACATATACAAGTTTATATAATTATGACAAATCGCAGATTTCAATTGCACCAACTTTCCTGTAAGTGAAAGCTGGAAGTTTCTAAGAACTATTCTGATTAATGTGGTACAGCTCTTGGCTGTGCTGTGGCTGGAAAACAAGAAAGCCCTTCATCAAACAGTTGCAACTGTGACTGCAGCCGATAAATGCCAAAAAAAGCTCAAGTTAGGGGAATCTGAGGCTGGGGGAGAGCAGGGGAAGTGCTGACTCCCGCCCTCGCTGCCGTTTGCAATGCAAGTTTTCAGCAGGACTTGCACGGGTGGCATTTTATTTCCGCACAGGCCACTAACTCTCACAGCCAAGCCCAGGAAAGAGCAAACGAGCAGTGATCTTTCAGTGTGATCTGGGCCCCGACATGAAAAGGAAATTCCCCTTGAAGGGTAATGCAATCTGAATCCCCATCTGCAAAATCTAATCAGAGGATGAAACCCATCCTTTTAACTTCAGAAGGAATGTGATGTGTGAAACACATGATGGATCTGGAGTCGGCCCATGAGAGGAGGCAGATGGGATGACTCCAGGAAAGTCAGAGAAAGAACAGATATTGAGAGGAGATCTCAAAGGATCATCTTCTGTTCAGATGTAAAATCAGCTTGTTGCACTCTCCTGCCAGTCACCTGAAGCCCTCCCCGTAACGGGACCAGTTCCTGGCAGGTCCAACGCGAGGCCAGCGCCCGGTCCCGGGGAGAACAACCTCAGGCTGATACTGCGTGTGTTAAGCAAATCACCGAACAATTCATTGAGAATTCAGCTGCTGGCAGTTCCACCTGTCCTCTCCCCAGATAAATGGTATAAAGGCAATTCACTTCTGCGGAAGGCAGCGGCCACAGAACTAGGGAAAACACAAGCTCTACGTTCCACGGTAGCTATTCTTTTGATGGCAACCAGACACTTGCACCCCTTCCCAAGCAGCCAAAGACCGACAGTTACCACGCCGGGACCTGGAGGTCACTGCTCAGTGTAGTGGCTGCACGCTGACTGCAAAAACAGACGCATCTGAGAGAGCTCCTGCGGGTGGGCTTTACGGGCTGCTCACCTGGCGTAACCAGTAACCCACAGTTTGGAGGAACACGACACCCAGCAACCTTACTGGCCCTCCTGAGTGGCCCACGCAGGCAGCAGCTGTGGTTAACGGAGCGCTCACGGCTGTGTGCTAGAGCTGGGAAAACCTCAGCAGGAGGAAGGGTATCCTGATGGTAAAGCTGTTGTATGCAGCTACACTTGCAACTTGGTTGACTTGATTGCAAAAAGGCAAACCCGATGGAGTTCAACACGGCCAAGGGCAAGGTCCTGCCCAGGGGTCGGGGCAATCCCCAGCACAAACCCAGGCTGGGCGAGGGGTGGCTGGAGAGCAGCCCCGAGGAGAGGGACTGGGGGGGATTAGGGGATGGAAAACTGCCCGTGAGCCAGCACCGTGTGCTCGCAGCCCAGAGAGCCAACCGTGTCCTGGGCTGCATCAAGGCAAGGACAGAGACCTGACTCATCAGAAGGACACAGACCTGCTCGAGTGGGTCTGGAGGAGGCCACGAAGATGCACTAAAAGGAGGCACCTCCCCTGGGGGGCCAGGCTGAGAGAGTTGGGGGGGTTCAGCCTGGAGAAGAGAAGGCTCCGGGGAGCCCTTCGAGCGGCCTCCCAGGGCTTAAAGGGGGGACAGGGAAGGTGGGGAGGGACTCTGGGTCAGGGGGTGGGGATAGGGTGAGGGGTGATGGTTTTAAACTGACAGAGGGCAGATTTAGATGAGATCTAAGGAAGAAATTCTTCCCTGTGCGGGGGGTGAGTCGCTGGCCCAGGGTGCCCAGAGCAGCTGTGGCTGCCCCCTCCCTGGAAGGGTTCAAGGCCAGGTTGGACGGGGCTGGGAGCCCCCTGGGCTGGGGGAAGGGGGCCCTGCCCGGGGCAGGGGGTGACACTGGGGGGGCTTTGAGGTCCCTTCCCACCCAGACCAGCCTGTGGTTCTGTGAAATACTTCCCAAGCTGGCCCCCAGACAGCCAAACCGAGCCACGCCGAGGCTGCAGATGACACAGGACAGCAGGACCCAGCCCCTCACTGCTGCCAACTCCTGCCCCCAGACTGACCTGTGCCGATTTCTTGTCCCCTCCAGAGCCCTGACCCGCAGCTCAGCCTCCCGGGGCTCGGCTCTCCCCTCTGCCCAGCCACGAACCGAGCGCAGGCATCACTTCAGTGTGGCAGCTCCCGTATCTGACATTTCAGTGAAATCTTATTTTGACGTTTGTGATCTAATTTGGAAAGATCGATCAAGGGTATTCAGATGAATAAAGAACAACGGAAAAATTACCTCTGGTTCCTGATCTCCTGGGAAGGGGATAAATGCAAGCTGCTCATCCGTTAGCGCTTCGCTCTGGGTGAGGAGGGAGTGGGGGGTTTCCAGCCACCCAGGGTGCAAACGGTCCTGGGACAGTCGCATCTCCTGCTCCGTTTCTCACAGGCACATCTTCAGTTTATCCTTTGTAAAGCTGGCCCTATTCATCACTCATTACATCTGTGTTAGTGAAGACACTACAAAAACTATCTGGACTGGGAATGTAGAAATTAGATCAGATATTTAGGCAAAATGTTGTAACCACAAACATGACACTTTAAAAGGGAGGTTAACATGGGAGAGACGATGGTTTCCACCAGAGTGGGGAGTTACGAGCTCTCACGTTACAACCACGATGCCTTTGAGGCTCTTCATCCCAATTATGGGCTTTTTGAAAAATAATAAGAGCTCCTAATTTTCATACCACCCACCAGCCTCCATCCCCTAGAGCATCTTACTCACTCTGTACATGCTTTTATAATATACTCACATGCAAATGAGCGAGGTGTTTGTCGGGTATGCATAGCTTCATCCCGGCTTTCCCAAGAGTTAATCCTTCCAGATAAGATTATTCAGGTTGTGTGCCAGTATATGTAACTGGTCTCTGCTCGGAAGGCACGGTGCCCAGACAGGTCGATGGGATTTCCCTTGTGTTCTGTGTTTCACCCCATACCTCGGGCCCATCCGACCCGTCTGCGGGTGATGTCCCCCAGCTCAGCCGCCAGCCCCCCCCGCACCAACGCCAGCGCCGCTCGTCCGGAGCTTCTCGAGGCTTCTAAAGCCGGGCTCCTTAATTATATACACCAAAACCTTACTTGCTGAAGTCTCCCCACAGAAATTCACACCAGTGTGCTGCTCAGAGTTAAAACCAGATCTGGAGATTACAGCAAGTGTTTCTCCCGTGGAAGTTAATGAACAGGCTACCCTCAACGTTTCACTGGCCTGGCAGCCGAGCTGACACCGACTGGGACTAGCCCCTCCGAGGGCGAGGTGAAATGCATTCATTCCCCTCCCCGCAGCCCCTGCCCGGCCGTGCAGAGCCCGCGGGCTCCGTTCTCCTACCGCAGCGGCAGCCGACAGCGTCCCTGCTCGGGTCCCACCGCAACGGGCAGCCGGCTCCAGCCCCTCGCCTCAGCTCCAGCTCCAGCTCCAGCTCCCTCCTCTCACTCGCGCGTCAGGCTGCTCCGTACCATCAGCTAAGGCAGCTTCAGCCACTGGAAGTCACCAAACCCTCGTTTCACGTCAGCTCTGGGAAAAAAAAAAAAAAAAAAAAAAAAACTAACACAAAGACACCGCCAGCAAGACTAACTTTCATTTCGCTCGGGAAAGCTAAATGTTTCTACCAAGAGCGACCTGTGCCAGGTGTCCTGTAACAAATACCCGCGGTATCTGTGCCTCCCTTTTGTGGTTCTTCAGCACAGGTATTGGGGTGAGTCGCGGGGAAGCGGGCGGGAGGGCTGGTCCCTCACAGGGGCTTCAGGCAGCCGCCCACCACCCACCCCAAGCGAGCTGCACCCCGAGGCGCCTGAACGCTCCCCGCAGGGCAAGCTGTTATGTGTTAGAATCCCTCTTTTTTTCTTGACAAAGAAAAAACATCGATGACATCATTTTCCCCACAGGAAAATTTAAAACGAATCCAGGGTCATTTTATCACCTGATTCTGAATGCAAGCAGTAAGTGTAAACGTCGAAATAAGTCACATATCAGGCAAATTCAAAGCATATTTTAATTAAAGCGTTTCCCATTCCAAATACAAACCAAATCATTACCACAATTAGCATTACATGATTCTTTTAGAAAAGGGAAAGAATCCTCTTTAAAAAGTATGTTTTACCAGGTATTAGATTTCTCTTAATTTTCAATACTCCATAAAATATCAACAGGTGAAAAAGCATCTAAACACATTCATTAAATCAACAGGCTTTAAGCTGGGACTGTTGGATCGTAAAATCTGAGAAAATTAACTGTGTGTCCCGAGGAGCAGTAACAGAAGCCAACCCTTCTGACCGAGCACCCTTGCACCATGAGCATGACAGATGAGAAACACTAATCTCCACTGAGAGAGCCAGGATAATATTCCCGGGTGTGCACCACAGCTCCTCGCAAACTCAGCTTTCCTGGCTCCATAAATTCCAGAGCCAGAGGATAACGATGCAACAGGAACAGACCCGCAGGAGAGCGCGGGCTGTGTGCCACAGCGCGCTCCGTGCCCAGCCAGACATCAGCAGAATAAACCTGACAGCACAAAGAGAGAAAACTCCCCGGGAGTCCAGCGTTCGACTGAACACAGTTAAATTCTCAAAGGCAAATCAAGTGAAAAATCATTAGTGATTTGGCTATCCACGTCATCTTCTCCAGCCACTTCAATGTTCAGTTCCAAGTTCCGGTTTTAAACGTCAAGCCTTATGGTTTGCAAACTGCAATGAGAAGGAAAACCAAGAAATAATTATGTTATGCACTTGTATCAACCATGCACTTTTAAAAAATTTTTCATAAATAAGATACATTTTGGCATTAGATTATCTTCATGCTCTGTGCTGGCATCCAGAAGTTACTGTAACATGCAATTACTGTTGCTAATTTTTCCTATCAACAAACGAAAAAAAAAAAAGCGAGAGAGAAATAGAGCGACAAAAAAAATCTGCCTTTATAATTCATCAAACCACTACACATCTGCTACAATTGCTGCAGGACTCAAATTTATACTTTACCCACCAATCCCACATGCTCTCTCACACAGACAAAACTCTGTATTTCAAACACCTTTATTTTTTTAAGCTCTTTTTTGCAATGCAGGTGCCTGCAGGGATGTAGAGCAGAACAAGTTAGGGCTGAACCTAGTCCTGCCTCAGCCATGACTTGGAGCCGACTCAAGGTCCACCAAAGACTGTGAACTCTGTCCTCAGCATTGCAAAGACTCCTGAGGAGTCACCAAATCTGCAGAGCTCCCACTCAGAGAGAACAAACAGAAAACCAACGAGAGTTATGCTGCTCCTACAGTATGAAAGTACAAGCTGGGAGAAGGGGAGAAGGAAAGCCATGCTTTTTTAGCGTGGCTATTTGTTAAACTTTCTCCTGACACTTGCTGAAGCCCCCTTCAGCGTGCGCCTGGCTGCAGTCTTCGGTTTCTCCCCTTCTCTTGGACCCCCTTGCCCACCCACGCCATGGCAGAGCCTGCTGCCCTGATGAAATTTTTCACTGCCTGGTAGCAACGTGCCCAATACCTCCATCTGCCTGTGTGGGAGCAACGTGTGACCAAGTGGACAGAGACACACTAGGAGTTTTGTAAATCAAAGGTTTTGACTTTCTAGGAGCAAAGTCCTGTTACTGGGCAAACAGGCTACTTGGGAATGGAACCTAAGGTTGTAAAAACAGAATAATAAATTTTATGGATGGGATTGCGTGCGGTAGTTGGCAGTTCTGAGAACACAGACTAAGCTTGCAACAAGAACCAAAGATCTGGTACAATTCCTTGAGCAATGGATACCCCAAGATCTCCAACAGCACTTGTAAGGCCTGGCTGGCGCTTCGCCCTGGCAGCAATACCTCTGGGCTCTGTTTGTTCCCACCAGGATCAGAAGGGAATTCTCCTTCCTCTCCCAGCACATCATTATGCTTATGAAGGTTGGAAGGATTTGAGCCCCGCACTGAAGCTCTGGAGAGCAGACAAAATGAGGGGCTGGGACAGAGTGCCCGGGCAGGCGTCTGGCTCACAAGCTTTGCTCACACATCCACATCTAAAGCTGCCGTGAGAGTTCACATCGAGAGGAACTCTCCTGCGTACCCGAAGGTCAGGGACCTCCTTCTGGGAGAAAGAAAGGACCTTTCACACAACGTGATCTGCTTCCTAGGATCATCTGGGCAACTCCCCTAATAAGTTATCTGCAACTGCAAAAACCAAAGACCTTGGCAATGCTCTTGATAAGTCACAGTGTGATAAATACAGCGCGCAGTACGACAGGGCACATTCTGCAATGAAATACTGGTACATCAAACTGCAAGTCTGCGGCTGCCAAAGGGGATCAACCACAGCGAGGTACCGGTTCAAAGACAAGTGCCCACACTTTCTGTTTTTTCAGGTATGACTAATGCTTTCCAGTAAAAAAAAAAAAAAAAAAATTAAAAAAAGCTTGTAAAAAACCCCACTGTTCTTTCAGTCACAGTATCAGCTGATCCAAAGCACAGCACAAACCTGTGTAGGTCCACAAGACAACACACATTTAACCAGCCTGCCCTGCACGTTTGTACTGGCACACAAACACAGCTACACCTCACGGATTTTAGGCGCCCTGCCCTGAGAAGAAGTCGTTATGTGGCATCACATTAGTTACCACGTGTAAAGAACAATTTTAACCTATTGTCTGAATACAGAACTTTGGGTAGAGGAGTCGAAGTAGCGTTTATAAATGAGATAGCGTTACTCAACTGCTGGACTTACTGTCTGGTAGAAGCTCTTTTATTGAAGCTCCTTAATACATTTCAACCCTCTCTCACACTATGACATGAAGAATCCGAAGCACACACCAAGCACTGGGAGGCCTCCGTGAGAGCCTCCCCTCAGCCCGACCCGGGGCAGCCGTCCCCGTCACCCCGGCCGCTCCATCTGAGTCTGTGTCGGCGCAAATCGTGACTGACAAGGGCTGCAAACCTGCCTGCACGGAGAAACCTGCCCACGGCTTCCCAACTGCACGCACGCTCCGCGAGGAGCGCCCGTGGGGAGCCTGAAAATGAACCGAGGTGAGAATTGCCGGGAGACAGTCTAGGGAGAGAGGCGGAGGACTAGAGGGGAAATTATTTTTAGGGTGACGGCACTAAGGTAACAACCCACTTACCGCAGCTTTCAGAGCTTGATCCAGGTCTGCCAGTAAATCTTCTTCATCTTCCAAACCAACCGACAGGCGAATTAACGTATCACTGATTCCAAGAGCATCTCTATCTTCTTTAGGCACTGAAGAGTGAGTCATGATGGCCCTGGAGGAAAAAAAATAGCCTTTTTTCTAAGAAGTTTTTACGTTTCTTGATAAAGACCAAGCAATTCAGTTTCCTGCCAGAAACCCCTGAAACTCCCTGAAGATTTTACACCTTTGTGTATCACCTGTGGGTTAAGCCACAAATGGCGAGAGATCATATCATCAGTTACTGTAAATTATCCAAACTACAGACATGTCAGAGATTTGTATCTCCTGGCATTTCAGTACAGTATTTCCAAGCTACAAATGATGAATAAGCAGTGGATACTTAATAATCAGGAACTGAAAAAGGATAAAATGCTATTCCTCTTCCTTCTAGATATCTTTTATTTTTCTTCTAAAAAAAAACATACCTAAAAGCTCTGCTTTAAGCATATGGAGAAACAGCTATAGTATACAATCTCCACTATAAAATCTCCTAATTTTGTTTTGGTTTTTTTTTTTTTTTTTTTTTTTTTTAACTTCTGGTTTCTCAGCTCACTTGCCAAACTGTACCCAGTTGGACTGAAGAGTTCATTCTCTCCAGCTATGGAAGATATAGGTGAGAAGCTATTTCCCCCATATGCTCAGTCACTGACATCCACCAATTTGCAATTACCTTTCAACTGCTGGAGTGTTTTAAAATTTGCTATTATTCCAAAATGAGCAACTGAAATGATTTAGCACATAAGTTTAGCCATAACTTCCCATGCCTCTCTTTGAAAAGCAAACTGGATTTAAGTAAAACAATCTAATTCCACAAAAATCCTATTTTTAGCCTTTGAACCTAGACAGGGGCAACTAAGTATTACTAAATCCCCACAAAATTGACCTGACATGGAGACAGGCAGTGTGGTGTAGCACACTGAACGTGCCCCCTTGTGTAAGCAGGCAGAACCGCAGACCTCCTGTCCTCAACAGCCCCACCAAACCTGCCCAGTGCGACTCACTCAAGCACATGCTGACCTCCTGCATTTGTTACTACAGCCACAAACCGCGGCTCAGTCTCCCGGTTAAAACAAGGAAGCGTGGAAATGCTCCCATCCCTGCATTCGTATAGGCACAAAAAGTCACACTCATTTCTGTGCTACACAACATACTATCCCTGATTTTCAGCTGTATGCAAAATACCTTGGCTTTGTGTGCTAGAAAAATTTTAGAACTCTAGAAATAGTAGCTTTTGTGTTACTCTGCAGCTTTTTTAGACTTTTATGATGAAGAAGGACTTACGGATGCTCTGCTAGGCTTTCATATCCTCCCAGACTCTCAGCCAGTGTAAAGACCTACGGGAAAAAAGAAACAGAAGTTAACATCAGAAGTGTAAGGTCATGAATGCTTAGAAAGAGATAGTCAAGGAAAAAGAAGCAGTTCATTTGTTTTTTTTTTTCCTAGTTTTTTCTATTATAATTTTTACATTTTAAAATGTATTAGCTGTAATTAGGGGAAAAAAGCGTACATTTATCAGGTAAAAGCTATTGAAGTTTAGAATAGACTTGTCCTAAAATGGCTCCAGAGAGACACTGAGGCAAAACTGACATCAAAATATGCCCCTGTTGAGCAAATACAACCCAGCAGCAGTTCCCCGGTGCGATGCATGGGCAGCAGCGGAGGAAGAGCAGAAGGGAAAACGCACAGGACGAGGGAGCAGGTTCTGCCTGGGCACCACCAGTTGTCATTCTGCTCAGAGGAAGGATAGAGCAGGCTGCCTGAACAGACTCCGACCTCAAAAATCTCAGCTAAGGTTTAAGTGATAATAGCCCATCCTTACACGCTCTTCTTTCAGCATCACCCCTCACCGTTCACACTTACCTCCTATGCTTGTCAGGCTGGCAAATGGCAGGCTTGATGGGAAAAAAAAAACCCAAACGGTTCAGACTCTCCTCATAAGGCTGAACAGATTCTCTCACTCGTTGCTCGGGTCTGATGGTTAGTTTAGTATTTTGAAAACCAGCCTAAAGTTCTCAGTGCCTAAGAGGAGTAGTGTTTGTGAAATCAATCAAGGTTCTTTTCAGCACTGCTCTTTGAGCTACGGGCATAGAGTCCTGGATGACAGAATGGCTCTCTAGGGAGCCGACTGCACTCGAACAAGGATTCATGATTTGTCTTTTGTGAATGCACTTACTGCCCTCAACATTTCTCTCCAGCCCTGGCTGCTCATATTGACTTTTTTTTCCTTTAAAAAAAAACCCCAAACCCCTAAACCTATTGACCAAAGAACCCTCTTCTCAGCCAGGTTTAAGGAAATGGCTTTACTTTTGTACCAACCTAGAGACAATCTGATGATTATCCAAGTCAAGGGACTGAAGTGAATATACTCATAAGGGACTACTTCTGGAACATACTCTCTGATGCTTTTTTTCCTTTCAAAGCTGGTAGATCTCCCGTGCCAGGATCAAATGCTCTCTCTCATTTAAAAGGATATTTTGTTGGAAAAATCATATTTTTTAGTAAATTCATTTTCAGCTGATGACATTAGCTAGCAAGTAAGAAAGACAGGGAGAAGAAGGAGTTTCTGCTTTACCTTTGTCAGGTATTACTGATTTGTTTTTCCAAGAACAAAACAGCAAAAACACAAGAGCAGGATGCAAATTAACCAGAGATCAAGACTAGCAAACACATTAAAGAGTACTGGCAGAATTAATACATTGCAAAGTCAGAAGCCAGAGCCTATAGTTTAGGTAAAACAAGCAAACAACTATTCTCCAAACTGAGGGACTCCCTCTCGCTTCATGATTCATATAATTTCTCAGTGAGTTTTTCTCTTGATGAGTACTTTAAAATATTACAGCAGCATTACACCAGCCACAGCTTCTCTGCTTTCAAATACTACAGGTATTTTTGCAAACAGCTGGTATGCAGGCCCTTTATTAGGAGCAATGCTTGGGCTAGCCTGGATATACTACACCCTACTGTGTAAACAAATGAGCTGAGGCATCCTTTTTTCCCTCTCATTAGCCTCCTATTTACAGATAATGTATTATTTAGAAATGGTTACACCCAAAAGACTTTAGGAGCTTTGCAAGTACAGAGACAGACTCCCCCAGCCCCAAGACAAACCACTTCTTCCATTATCACCCTCAAAAGGAGAGGCTCAAGTCCCCCTAAGGTAGTGTGTATTTACTGTCATTTACCTTTAAATTCTTGAGAAAGGTAGCAGCATGTTCAAGATTTCCTTTGATGTAAAAGGTTACCATCCCAGGACAGCCCGTACACTGCCGCTTGACCAACTCGTGCTGAGGGTGTGAAGGCAGGCCTGAAATTTGTAGAAGTTGCCTTAAGTTAATCACCACCGCTTCAAAGGGTAAAGCAGCTCACACACACACACACACACACACACACACCCCAGCTACGTGGCAACAGCCCATTGCCAGGGTGGACACCTAACCCAGAGTCACCACGCGTGGAGGGTGCGCAAGCGGCACGTAGTGCTACAGTACTCGAGGCCATCAGAGACCTCACCCGCTCTGAAGTCTTGCCAACCTACCTGGGAAAATGACTTTCTCCACCCTGGAATCTGACTCAAGAAATCGAGCGACAGCCAACGCGTTGCGGAAATGTTGTTTCATCCGGATTTCTAGTGTCTTCAAACCACGACTGCACATGTAACAGTCAAAGGGAGACGGACAGCTCCAAGAGCTAAAGACATTTGAAACAAAATTCCACGTCAAACAAAGGGTTGGGGGGTTGTTTTGTTTTGTTTTTTTTTTTTTAATAAACTGAAATACAGTCCTCATTTCCAAAATTTCTGAAGTTCGAACAAACCGAGTGGAAAGACATCTGATGCAATCTGTTTTCCTCATCTCACACACATAGGAAGCCAATTAACGATCTGAATTAACAAAGTGAAGACTCAAGGACTAAATTTATTAGACACAATATACCTTTACTCCTTCTGTTGTAGACAGTGGGCAGATGGAACACTGTACAGAAATTTATTCATTACATTTAAGAGGCAGTAAAATTGTTAAAATCAACCTATGTAAGAAAATTCTGCATTGGGCACATCCTCTGATGTGTGAATGAGTTTAAAAAACCCCAGATTTCATACTGGGTGTGCGTGCTACAGGCTTCCCATTATGAGCTGGTGTATCTGAATAGGGATCATTTCAAGGTGTTTCCAATACTGACTACTTACAATTTTGTAAGAATTTGAGCCTTTTATAGAGATCATCACAGTTTACTGAAACAAGACCCATTACAACATCGCTATGTCCTGAAAACACAAGAAGACAAGAACAGAATCAGCCACTCCACCTGCTCCAGGGCTCTGCCACAACCCCCATTCTCTCAGTCTCGGTGCTTAGTCCCATTTTTGTGAGACCCTGGCTCCCTTCAGGTTGTTACAGCCGTCCTTTCCTGTGCAGCACATGAATCAGAAGGCAGATTTCAGCTTTTTCTGAAGCTCTGGCCAGCTCTGCCAGGTGCTGCACACATACCCCCAGACCCTTCCCGAGCCCCCAGCCGCTACGTGCCAGAGAGCAGGGTGCTGCACAGGACTCGACGTCGCCAGAGGGAACGCCAACCAAAGAACTTCCACTTCTACCTGCAGCCCTGGGGACAGGAGGGCACAGCACTGCTCGTCACGTTACCTCCAAGTCTGGGCTCTTTGGGAAAGAACCCAGCGAAGGTGCTTTTGGACAGGCTCCACTTCAGCCCTACGAAACCTCCTCTGAATCTGAATGTCATTTCTGGCAGCCACCTTCTGCTGAGGCCACTTGCTTTGCTGTAGGCAAATTAAAGCCAACATGGCTATAAACACCTCTAGGCCCAGTACCTGAAGTCAGGTCAATGTTCGTTCTCCCAGGGACAGTTTAAGAACTACAAAGACCAATGGTCTATTCAAGGGTCCATCTCTAATGGTCCATCTAAGAATTAGTGGCAGACACGCTCGTTTTGTGAAGTGCCCACAGCCAGGACGGCTCTTAAATAGCCAGCCTGAGTTGTGCTGAACTCACACACTTACCATTCATGTACTTGGTTGCAGAATACATACAAATATCAGCCCCCAGAGACAAAGGACGCTGAAATGAAATAAAAATAATAATAGGTCTGATTAAAGCTTGTGCGCGCTGTGGCTCATTTCAAGCTATCCAGAAAGGCTGTGATCCAACACAGCAAATGGTGGAGAAACGGAAACAAACAAACAAATAAACCCCCAAAAACTTAACACAAAACTTAACAAACACAAAAACCTGAGAATGAAGATAGATAGAATACGTAACAAAAACAATAGCACAGGAAAGCACTCTTGATTCCAGATAAGCACAATAAAAAGGACCCACAATAAAAAGTGATTTTAAAGCACTGGTCTAATTCCCACCGGCTTCAAGGAGAGGACTGATTGAATACATCTAATGTACAGCCTGTTCATATTTGTGAAAAAAACTAGTTATATTGCCTAGCTGAGGCAGGGTAAGTAACAGTCTTTACTCTAAAGTATATTTCCTTAGAAAATGAAGTCCTCAACACAGACTGCAAAGGAAAAAAATGGCATTGTTTTCTAGATATCAGTATTGGTGATACTGCACCAAAAGAACAACCAAAAACCTGAAAAAAGTGTAAAGGGTTTTGTTTGCCAGGGCTCTCTTGCCAAACCTCCCAGTTTTCCTCCCAGAAGCCTTTTTATGGTGAGGCAAACTGAAATGTTGATGGGCAAAAAATAATGAACAATTTTTTTTTAAATCAGTCACTAAGTAAAGGACTTTGCACATAATGTAAATACATTATGAAGGCTGAAGCGTATCGATATGTTAAAAGGTAACAAAGCAAGCGGATTTAGAATAAAAGACTGCTGCTGTCAGGTTAAACACAGACGTCTGTTCGAGGAACGTGGATAATGTGCCTTCCCAATATGCAGCCAGGAGAACAGTAGCATAAACACCAGTGCCTTTTACATTCAATATTGCTACATAAATCACTCTAAAATTATTAGCTTCTTAGTACAGTGTACCAGCAGCAGCCTGGAAGGGTTTAAAGACATTACCTATTATCCTTACTAAAATTAATCATTACAACTGACTTTCTCCTAGCACCAGGCCAATAAAAGATACATTAACCAGCTCATATATCCAGATGCTCACTTCTCTTCTTTCACACATGTCTTTCCAAAGTAATGTACATTGCAGGGAGAAAAATCACCAAGCCTTTGGTATGTACAAGTGCTGCTTTAGCTAAGCACTAACACTTTCTGTAAAGCTCTCCTAATTTATAAAGGTCTCAGTACTCTTAACAAAAACAAAGACACCTTGCCTTTTGCACTCATAGAAAAGTTTAACTTTAGTCCTAAAATACGAGGGTTAGCTTGGTCTCCTGGGAAATACACGAGTATTTCTAGCCCACGTTAAGATGAGCAAGACACTGAAGTTTGTTATCCTGAAGCACTTTTAGAACTTAAGAAATTATCTTCACTTCACGTCTTCTAGTTATGAAAGCAGAAAAGGTATGCCAGTTGTTTGAGATCAAAATGACAAACTTCTAAGCCACACATTCACCAAAATATTGAAGAAAAAGGTAACTGGAATGTCTCAAAGAAAGATTTAACGCAGTTTGCTTGTTTTAACTTTTTCTTCTACTACCTTTTTTGGAATATCAAGTGGTTCAGAACAGCTCATGAACAGCATATAGAAAAAAACTGGTATGAAAACATCCAAGTTAGAACACAGGACACTTAACAGGCCTGTTACGATTTCCATCAGTGAGAACTAAAACCCATGATTTTGGACCGACAGAGAAGCCACTCTCCCAGTGGCCTACCTGACTGTCTGGACTCGGTGTGTTTACTTGACCACTGAGCTATGTCGGTTTTGCTGGTATCATACCGGTATGTGGCCAGCTGTAAAATACTGTGCATACCATCTTTACTAAGGTAAAGAGCAGCAGTACACAGCTTATATTTAGAAACAGAACAGGGCATTTTACAGTGCATTGATCAAAACGACGGTTCCTTGGTGGTGCTTCCGTTTTAAAAATGTATCTTTGAATACACCGAAACAATGGGGTAACTGTAAACGAACAAAGCGCTTACCTGGAAATACGCAGACATAAAAGTGTTGTCTACCACTAGAAGAACATCTTTATGCTTATGTACCACATCTGCACAGGCCTGAATGTCAATGACCTTCAGGGTGGGGTTTGTGGGCGTTTCAATCCAAACGAGCTGCAGTAATTCAACAACACAAATCAGTTTAGAGATTTTACAGTGCTGGTGATGATGCGTGCCTAAGTCCTAAGTACCTTTAGGTGTTAAGGTGTCGAGTGTCAGCTTCCCATGCAGGTTTGCAGAGTGGCAATAAGAAAGCGTTCCCGCTGAAGGAAGGTAAGGTTTCTTGGGAGAGGTAATATTCCCACAAAAACAACTGATACATGGGAAGAACATCAAGCGTTCGAAAACCCAAGTGCCTCACATCTGGAGAAGGTCTGACACAGCCACAAGACAGACTTTATGCCCAAACGTTTGTAAGCCTTTTCCTGATGAATCATTTTTTGCTAGAGCAGAGGATTATCTGCTGCAGTGCCACAGAGCACCTCCTCCTCCTCCTCCTCATCCAACCTTGGTGTTCCCTCGGCTGTTTCTTACCTTTTCCCTCCCCTTCTCTCTCTCTCACTGATGTTTTTTGCCCTTCTCGAGGTGTTTTCAGTGAGGCACCACAAACGTCACCAAGGGGCCAGCAGTGGGAACATGATGGAGCCAGCTGTGCCCCAACTTGTCCCCGCAGAGGCCACCCCCACAGCTCCCTCTGCCTTGACACGCACGCCCAATATAACAAGAGCAAGAATAAAATTATTTAACGACATTAAGCAAGTAAATTCAGCAATTTTCCTCTCCCCTACCTTGGTCTCTGGTGTAATTGCAGCTTCCAGGCATTCCACTTTTGCACAGTCAACAAAAACTACATTCAAACCCATTTTCATGGCGACTTCCCTGAAGTACCTGTTTGTACCTAAAAAAAACCCAATCAAACAAAAAAAATCAGAGACACAAAATGAAACCACTTCCTTAACTTTCCTTCACCGATCTCCACTCTCTTGTATGCATCCACAGAAAGTCAGGAGGGTATAGGTTTATGCTGTGCACAGTAAATGGCATATTAGTATTATTTTTACTTCTGGAAAGTTTACAGATTTCTGTAGCTTTAAACTTCATGGAAGAGTATTAATGGGAATACGGAATCAGTGATTTATGAAGCACTGTTCAGGTTTTTTTAATCAGAAAATTAAATAGACGCCTTTTAGTTTGCCTCCTTCTCAATTTCCTCCAGCCCTTTGCCATGCATATGCTAGCAGTTCCAGTTTTTACATCCTCTTTTCTCCACCCCACTTTTAAGAACTTTTTTCCACCATGTGTTTTCAAACGCTTTTTTTCCATTTAATAAGTTTAATTGAGAATCTGAGAGAAGAAGAATCAAGGGGAAGACTCCAGCTACTGTGCTTCTTATCATTCCATTAAATAAACATGTAGCGAGGAACATAAAAAACTAATTATTTACTTCCTTTCTGTCTTTGAAGCCTTTCACTGGAAAGATTAAAAGAAGAAACTCAAAGCAACCAGTTGATCACTAGCTGTGCAACATACTGACTATGTGGCAACATTGTCTGGATTAAAAATTAATTCATTAACTCTTTTTGCCAAGGTTATTCAACATTTACTCACTTAAGCAGAACAGCAGTTTGCTATCTAGCCATAAAGTCGGAGTACATGCAGAGTCTGATTCTATGTGCCGAATGCTACACCTGAATATTTTTTTTTTTTTTAAGGAAACACTTTTATTTCTACAAGAAGCTACGTATTCTTTCTTGTGCTGTAAGAAGCTTATTCAAGCATGGGAAACTTCCACGTAGGCTGTCTGCTTTACAAATACAAATCACAGAGAAGTTGCTTTATAGTAGTCTTACATACTTTTAATAATAGCGCGCTACAAAAAACCTTAGATGGAAATGAGAGGTTACACTGAAAGCAGCCCTTTTAAGCAGTTCCAGCAACGACTCAGAGTTCAGAGATGCCAACTACCTGCAGCTCCTCCTCACGCCTGCCAAAACCCAGCATCTCCCAAACACAGCCCACGCAATACGCTTTCCAGCACTGCCCGAGAGCTTTCAATTTTCTTTTACTGTTTTTCTGACAACCTTGAACACTGCGGACTCGTTTGAGTTAGCAAGCGCAGCACTGCTTTCCTATCCAGCCAGGCTTTCCACAAAAGCCGCACTGAAAGCTTGCCAAAGCCCGTGTAGCCTGGAGGGAGCAGGGCCACCTGCCAACACTCAGCACCCAGCAACTCCAAGGTTGCTGTTATGGGGCTGAAGAACTAAAGGCTGCACAGGGCAAGCGTGGTGGAGGAGTAAACCCTGCCTGGCACAGAGGAGTCAGCGCAGGCCACGGCGAGGAAGCGGCTGACAGAGGACCAGGCCACAGCGCGCAAGAAAACGAGCAGGAAAGACGACTAGCAAGAGCCAGGAAAGCACAGCCTAGGAGGAAAGCAAGCAGGGTCTTGGGGCACAAGGAGTCCCTAAAACCCGAGGGAAGGCCAAAGGGGCTGAGCACATACAGTGGCAGATCTGCAGATGTACCATGTCACGCGGTGTGAACTCTACCCCGCGTGAGGCTGTCTGTGGGGAAGCCAGCCTCTTTCCAACAGAGGCATAAACGAAATTCAGGGACGCAACGGTGAAATCCATCTCTGCAGAAACCACTACACGTTGAGGCTCAGATGAGCAGGTGAACTGGTTTTCCTTGAAAACTACACCTATGTGCCTTTCTGAAGTGAGAAACTGAGAAAATGCTTTGGCCAAATGGCTTTGATTTACTGAGCTCTGTGGTGGGAGGGCTGAAAATTAAAGGAGCAGATTGTCAGTAGGGATTCCTGCTGTCTACACTCAACTCGGCTCCAGATGTACTTTGAAGAAGAGCTATCCGGCATGACATAACTAAGACATTAAAAGCAAATCTCAGAATCACAGGCTAGTTTGGGTGAGAGGGACCTCAAAGCCCCCCCAGAGCCCCGCCCTGCCCCAGGCAGGGCCCCCTTCCCCCAGCCCAGGGGGCTCCCAGCCCCGTCCAACCTGGCCTTGAACCCTTCCAGGGAGGGGGCAGCCACAGCTGCTCTGGGCACCCTGGGCCAGCGCCTCACCCCCCGCACAGGGAAGGATTTCTGCCTTACATCTCATCTAAATCTGCCCTCTCTCAGTGCAAACCCGTCCCCCCTCGTCCTACCCCCACCCCCTGACCCAGAGTCCCCCCCCCCCTCCCCTGTCCCCCCTTTAAGCCCTGGGAGGCCGCTCGAAGGGCTCCCCGGACCCTTCTCTTCTCCAGGCTGAACCCCCCCAACTCTCTCAGCCCGACCCACGGGCAGGCCCTTGCCCCTGTTGATCTCCATGGGGTTTGCACAGGCCGCCCTCTCCAGGTCCCTCGGGATGGCATCCCTGCCCTCCAGCGTGTCACCACACCACACAGCTGTGTTTTTATATTTGATGTGTACAAGCAGAGAGAACTGACTGGCAAACAGTAATCACTCTGAGCGATGGGAACGGTGATTACTCTTGCTAAAAGGTTTTCCAGCTGTTGCTTGGGAAAACACTACCTGATGCTGGCCTCTCTCACCTTCCTTTGAGAACGCAGCAGATGTGATCTCTTTGTGCCCAGGCCTTGAAGCAGACAGAGGGAGACAACAAGCTTTGCTGATCAGTGAAACACAGGAGCTGGGCACTGAGGACACTGATTGTAACAGGGCATCCTGGCAGGCTTTCCTACTAGGGTCTTTGGGGTGGCATCAACCTTTGGAAGGACTTTAGCTGGGTGGATGTACTCTTTTACGGGGGAGTTTCTTGGAAGAATGAATCATAAAATACAACAACCTATGCAAGATCAAAACCTAATAGTGGGCTGCAGCATCACTGAAGCATTTAGAAGACATGGGTACAGCAGATGCAGGTTGTGCTTTCAGGGAAGTTGACAGAACAGTTGTCTGAAACAGTCCAGACAAAATGCTGGTTGGTAAAGGGTCAAACCTAGGAAAGGAATAGCAGAAATAGCAGAAGCTGGAAAGCCCTGCTATGTTGGACTGCAGAGGGTCCTGCTGCGCAAACAAATCTATGTGAGGCTAGGATGCTGCTATTTTCCCCTCCTTCAAGCATATATCACTAGTTAGCTATATTTTTTAAACCTCCACATTGTGCCGCAGAATCTTTCAGTGTTTGAATTTCTCACGCCAAAATGAGACAGGAGTGTTCTGTGTTCTCACAAAGTGAAAAGGCTTTAAAGAAAAGTAAGGTCCCATGTGGGAAATTCAGGAAGTTCATGACAATCACAAATAGGTACATTTGATCATTTGCACAATAAAGATCAAAACGGCACTTTTGCTTTACATACCTCCATAGACATCATCCATGCAGATAATCTTATCCCCTGCCTTTAACAGGTGAGTTATATTCAAAGTAGCAGCTAAGCCAGAAGCATAAGCTAAACCTAAAACAGAAAAGAGTAAGTGGCAGACAGACTGTTTTTAATGGGATACAAACCTTGTCAAACTTGCCTTCTCTTTCCTCACTTTGCTTTTATAAGGAACTTGTTCTGTTGCTCTTTCTTAGGTCACCTCGTTAAGTGGATTCAGTAAAAGCACCGTGCTGATTCCACAGAGTGTAACCCAGGATTCACAAAGATGGACTCAGTTTAGCTTAAGCATTAAATGTAGCGAGAGGAAGCACTACAGAAAGCCCAAGGATTGAGCTGGACTTTCCTGAACAGTAAGTGTTGAACTCTTTTTCACGCCACAAAGCAGCTCTTGCCCATAACCAGTAGTCAGAGGCTGTGAAAGCCTTGCTGGGATACCACCGCCGCCGAGATCTCCGTGTTCTTGCTCCCCAAGTTATGGCTAGTGCAGAAAGTCAGGAGACACACATGCTGATATCTTGCTTGAGGAACCCATTAATTGCTTACAGTATTTAGCTCCATCTAGCACTGCCACAGCCTTCTCCAGGCAATCCCGGGTCGGGTTTCCACTCCGGCTGTATTCATAACCCTGTTGTGAAAGCAGGAAACATAACTTAAGAGAGAGCACTGAGAAAGTTCTGTGCAATAATAGTACTAAGTTCCTTAAAAAGCACTCATGCTCAACACCCAGGTTACGCATCCACCTCCTCCAAGAACAGCAGGCTGGTTTTCTGGGTACGTCAACTGCTGTACACACCATCCGACTGGGCATCCCCAACCTGAAAATGGTTTCTAGGGGTGAGCGGGGGAAAGACACGTTCTTAGACACAGTCTCCTACTTCTTACTAGATATCCGTCTCTGTAGGAGAAAAAGCCTTGGGCTGACACAGTCCACACGGTCTTAAGTTATCAGGAAGGACGTGTCCCATCTGCACGATGCTCTGCTTGAAAGATGCTACAGGGCACCGGCCAGTGCCAACCTGTACCCATCGGAAGTTCTTGAAAGCTCAAACATTTCCCTGGCATGCAATCAGACCAAGTTCCGTGTTTCAGTGCAACAGCTTTTAGGTGAATACTGAGAAAAGTTAATGAGGAAAAAAAAAAAAATACTCATGCATGCACGGATGCACTTGTTACAGAGAGAACCTGGCTAAGCATCCTGGTATTTGCATACTTTCAGGATTTCTCTTTAATGACAACTTTGTCATATTCAGGAATCTGGCAGCAAGGACGTGGCTGCTCTGTCGCCACTGTGGGAACACAGCAGCGCACGACTCCTTCGACACAGCTACCTGCTCGCAAGCATTCACATTTTTAGTCCGTGTAGGGAATTTCGAGTGGAATCAAAGATCACAAGGCAAATTCCTATTGCCCAACCAGCACAGCGTGACATTCAGACCGCAGGTTTGGCACAAATACTGATTTACGAGTTACAAATTTGTGCCATTTCCCCCCGCACATGCATGGTGGCCATCAGAAGCTTCATGATAACTCAACACCAACATTTCCAGTACTTTCTACGATACATCTGCAAAATACTTATGGAACAATCGCTCGGTCTGGAAGGTCCACTGAAGCAGCCTCTTCCACAAGCTGTGTAAACGAGAAAATGCGTTCCGCCTGGGCCCAGCGGCAAAGGGAAGTGTTGTTATCACGCAGACTTCAAGAAAGACCCCGGCTGGGTGGAAACCATCCGGCCGAGGCCGGATCCTAAGCACGGCCAGCCGCGCAGCAGCCGGGTGCCGCCGGTGTCCCCTTCCCGCGGCTTCCCACCTAAAAATCACCCGAAATGTGCCTCCCCCCCCCCCCGGCCCCCAGCCCGCTTCCTGGGGGGGAAAACAAGAAGACGGTTGGGTTTTGTTCAGGAGAAGCTGGAGGGAAAGCACTTCCAGGCGCTGCGAGCCGGGAGCCCCCCCCCCGCCCTCACCCGGGGCCTGCCGCCGCCCCGGGCCCCCCCGGCGGGTCAGCACCGCCCCCCCCCCCCCCCGCCGGGGCGCGGCACCTTTGTCCTCAGCCCCCTCACCCCGGGGCGGGCCGGTGGGGACCACCCCGGCTGGGAGCTCCGCACTCACCGTGTGCTGCCCGGGGGCCCGCTGCTTGAAAGTGGTGGAGAGGGAGATGGGGGGCACCATGGCGGCCGACCGCCACTGCTCGGGCTCCTGCCCGGCGTGGATGGCCTGCGTGGCGAAGTGGGCGAACGGCGGGAGAAAGCCCCTCGCCCCGCCGCGCTCCATGGCCGCGCTCCCGCCACCGCTGCCTCGCGCCGGCCCCTCAGGCACCGCCGGAGCCCCGCCCGCGCCGGGCGCCCTGGGGGCGGGGCCTCTCCTCCACCCCCTCCTCTATTGGATGGACCGGGCGGGGGGGGGGGGGACGGGGCCGGGCAGTGCCCGCGCCGCAGGGCGTCTGGCCGAGATACCTCCCGCCCGCTGGGGGGCGCCGCCAGCCGCCGGCCGGCTCGCTGCCGTAATGGCGGGGCCGGCCCGGCTGGGCCGAGGGGATCGGGCTGGCAACGGCGAAATGGCGGGCGGCCCCTCAGCCCGGGCTTGGGGGCACAGGGAGCGGCTTCCTCCTGCCCCGTGCCCCGGCCCCGCAGCCGAAGGGTGGGAGAGCTTTTCCCCTCCTCCTCCCCCCTTCCCCTCTTTTCGGGCTGAGTTTGAAATAATTTTCACACCGTTCGCAGGTAAATTTAGCGCAACGCTGGATCTAAGTGGAAGAAGCGCACTGATTATTCTCAAGCCTATTTTTCAGCCTCAGCACAGAGTGGAAACCTGGAATTTAGGACGGAGGTATGTAAGCGTGTGGCGACGCCGTTTCCCGTAGGCCTGTGGAAAATGTCCTCATAAATCCCCCGGGGAAAGCTTTGCTTTGCTCCCTCCGTGCCGCCGGGACAAGAAGTCACTGTCTCAGGTAACCTCTGGCAGTCTCAGTGAGCCTCAGCGTCATAAAGAGCCTGTTTTCCTTCGAGAATCGTTCGTACGATGAACTTCGGGATGGTCAGGCTGAGGCAAAGGGGAAAACTGATTCATTTCCGTGTCATACAAAATTTCTCCCTCCAACTCCAGGTCCCGGTTGTCTGCGCAGCCCGCGGGAGGCGTTTGTGGGTGTTTCTGGAGGAGGCTGCCCTGGCCGCGCAGAAGGCAAGGGCTCTTCGGTGCTGTCGCTCCTCTGACGGCCGCGGATCCCGGCATCGCTCGGTAACGGCAACGGGGAGCTCTGCAGGTGCTGGCCCGCGGGTTAGTCTGAGCAACCTGAGGAAATGCCTTTTTTCTTTTTTTTTTTTAATAAGGAGGTATAAAAATTTATAAAGTGCTTCGGGACGGCACCAGCTGAAAAGAGAATCACTTGAACAGAAGCCACTGAGGCAGCAACATCTGAACATTTCTTACCTACTTTTTCCTGTTAATTTCCTTAAATGTTCTTTCCCCTTTGAGACCTGTATTGCACTCCAGCATCTCTCGAGCCACTCATTCTGAATTCCCCGGGAGAGGCAGAACTTTTCTCCAGAGCTGGCAAATTCCACTCACTGTCCTCCAGGACCTCTTTTTTTTTTTTTTTTTTTTTTTTTCCTTTTGGAAATAAGGAAAAAGGCAACCGGAGAGCATTTCCCTATACTTGGGTGCCTTCAGTATCCGACTGGGTACTTTTCATAAGTTTAAATGTTACTGTTAGACTTATAACTAGAATACATGCAGGTGCACGTTTGGGTTTTGTACAAATTTATAGTGGTTTATTCCTCTCTATTTTTTGACCTATTAATTTATATACTAAAAAAGTCAGCATCCTTTCTGAGGAATACACCCATGAGAAATTATTCCTCCGTTATTTATTGCCTACTTGAGGAGTTCCGTAAATGAAGTTTCCATAGACTCACAGCCCAGAAGCTGTAGAAAATGGAGTTCCACATTGCCACAATATCTGATCCTGCTACATTTATTTAAATCGGATAGTGCTTGGAAGAGAGCAGTTTGAGTAATTTAAGGAAAAGGAGAATATAAAAACAAAGTTCTGTTGTTAGATGGTAAAAAAAACCAAACAAAACAAACAACAAAACAACAAAACATCCTCAAGAAATTGTAGGTGTATAATAATTACACAGCACAGTCCTAGCATGGGAGGACATCTGGATTCACTGCAAACATCAGCTTTCCCAGAGCAGTCCTCATTAGTAATGCACTCGTATTTCTGGATGGAATAAGGGACTCCATAACAAGCTGGTAAACAGTGACTTCATGCCTCTGTCTCCTCTTGGCTGGCCTTCAGTAATTAAAAATGCAATGTGAAGCTTCCAACATCAGCTGAAACCTGAGCTGCTACCTCTCCCTGACAAGACTAGCTAAGTACCACATGTGTTTCCCGCACAGCACCGGGGCAAACAGCCTCTGGTGCAGCACAGGAGAACAGACAGAAGACATCAGAATTGTTAACAGTGTCAGCCTCTCAAATTCTGTTTGTAAACAGGTTTTAATTTTCTCTAAAAACAAGAAGCGCCAGAATAATGTCAGAAAGACCAATGGAGTATAGAGCAAACGTGACTTTTTTTTTTTTTCCCCCCTATAATTATTTAGAATTCTGTATTAGAATTGTAAATAGCTGTGCGAGAAGCAGCTGTGCTGTCACTCTGAAGACAGCAGGCACAGAAATCACACTTCATAGTTCCCATCTCTGCCTAGAATTCATCATAGCCACTTAGCATGAGAGGACAGGATGCAAATTGGGTAAAGAAAGAGGTCACCCAGAAAGGTAGTGCTTTTATCACAGCAGAGCTAATCTTCCTGGCAACTTGTAGGTTGTTTCCCCTGAAAACATTAATAAAAAAATCTATTTTACCTGGAATTTGACACATCATTTTTTTTAAATCATTCATTCCACTATTGTAAGTAAATACTTGCAGAACTAGTGCTAAAGAAGGAGCTCCTGCAGGGAAATGTGGAAGCTCGGAACCTAACACAGTTACTTTAGAAGATGATACTGCTCCTACAAGGACTGACATAAGGACAGGACTCCTCCTTTTGAGGAAGACAACTTGTCCAGGTCCCATCATTCTCAGATAACTTCTTGTTTCACAGTCGTGTGTCACTCTGGGTCTTTTCCTTCTCTTTCCCCTTACCTCGGTGAATGAAATAGCCACACAAACAAGGAAAATGGATCAATAGTGAAGGGACTGGGTGAGGTTTTGTTCAGAACAGCATTAGCAGCCTGTTTCTCCTGGGCTCACAAGAGGACTCACAGAAGGAACACCGGAGGAGACGCACGAGTTAGGGTCATGCCTTGACCTTTCATGACCGGGGAAGCAGCCCAGGGCTTCTGTTCTCTTGGCACACAAGGGGAATTGGCTCATCTCACCAATTCCATTGCTCTGCAGTTTGTTTACACCTCTGGCACGCAGCAGCATAAAGAATATACACTGTCATCTATACAGTTGCATAACTAAGCCTCAAACTGAGACGCTCCTGGATCCCCCTTGCCACTTTACACAGCAATCTGAGAGGAATCCGTACAGGTCATCACAGCAGATTTTCGCAGTGGACTGAGGATCTGGCTCCTTCTTTCATGGTATGAAGCACGGGAGATGGTGCTTTTCTCCCACAGCAGGCTGAGGCAAGCCTGGGTAACCGGGAGCACTCCCCAGCAGCCAGAGCCCGTGGCAGCAGTGACGGCCCAAGGACACGGGAGGGAAGGTCTGTAGGAAAGCACAGCCCGCTGTGAGGTGCAGTCAGCTCAGGGGAAGAAAGCCAAGCTGCCCGACCCACAAGGTATTCCCTCTCCCTGTACCCCACACAACAGCAGACCCTTAACAGCGTCAGCAGCCGTTTCCTTCAGAATGCCAGATATTGTCAGCACAGATACATTAACGTGGGCAGAAAATCCCCGAGCCCTGATCAGACCCTTACTGCCAGTTGTCAGCAGCTGTTTCCTTCGGAATGCCAGATATTCTCAGCGCGGATACATTAACGTGGGCATAATACCCCTCGGCCCTGACCTGAACCGCAGCGCAGCCTCCCGCCTAGGGAGGCCGCCCGCGGCACTCTGAGCGCTGCCGGCTCGGCCTTCGCCTCAGCGGCGGCTGTCGAGCCCCGCCGGCGGGCTCCTTCCCCGGCGAGGGGCAGGTTGTGCGAGCGCTGAGCCCTCCCCGGCCCCGCCGAGGGCAGCGGAGGGGGAGTCGCCGGCCCCGCTCCCGCCGCCTCAGCCGCCGCCTCAGCCGCCGCCGCCCTCTTCCCGCCTCCCGCGCAGCCTCGCCCCGCCGCGCCGCTCTCGCGAGAGCTGCCCAGCCAAGATGGCGGCGGCGGCGCCGGGCCGTTGAGGGCGGCCGCGGCGGTTCCTCGGTGGGGGCGGCGATGCCGACCGGCCGGGACTCGCCGCCGCGGCTCTGAGCAGCACATCGGACCCCTCCGGGCTGCGGCTCAGCCCTCCCGGCGGGGGCCCCGCCGCTGGCGATGACCGGAGAGAAGCTGCGCTCGCTGCGCAGGGACCACAAGCCCAGCAAGGAGGACGGGGACCTGCTGGCGCCCGGCGAGGAGGAGGCGGCCGCCGCGCCCGGAGGCATCTTCACCGGGGGCCGCGGGAGCAGCGGCAAGGGCGGGCGGGCCGGCGGGCACCGCATCTTCAGCAACCACCACCACCGGCTGCCGCTGAAGGGGGGCCCGGCGGCCGGCGGGACGGGCCCCCCCGCCGAGCCCGACAAGTGCCCGGCGCACTTCCCCGTCCACGAGTGCGTCTTCAAGGGGGACGTGAGGCGGCTCTCGGCCCTCATCCGCACCCAGGGCATCGGCCAGAAGGACAGTCACGGTGAGCGGGGCTCCCCCGGGGGCTCGGGGGGGTGCGGGCACCGCGGAGCTCGGCGGGGCCTCCCTCTCGCCGGGCGGTGCTTGTGCCCCCGAGCCTACCTCGCTAAAAACGAATACATCCATCCATCTATCTATCTATCCATCTATCTATCCATCTATCTATCTATCCATCTATCTGTCTATCCATCTATCTGTCTATCCATCTATCTGTCTATCCATCTATCTGTCTATCCATCTATCTGTCTATCCATCTATCTGTCTATCCATCTATCTGTCTATCCATCTATCTATCCATCCATCCATCTATCCATCCATCCATCTATCCATCCATCCATCTATCCATCCATCCATCTATCCATCCATCTATCCATCCATCCATCTATCCATCCATCCATCTATCCATCTATCCATCCATCTATCCATCCATCCATCTATCCATCCATCTATCCATCCATCTATCCATCCATCTATCCATCCATCTATCCATCCATCATCATCCATCCATCCATCCATCCATCCATCCATCCATCCATCTATCCATCCATCCATCCATCTATCCATCCATCTATCCATGTATATATATATATATATATATATATATATCCCCCTAAAAGCGTCTGAAGCGTCACCTGTTCGCCTTCACAGCACGCTCAGGAGGGGCTCCTTTACCGGTTGGTGGAACTACCAGTATCCTTTTCTTTTTCCCCGCGCTGAAAACAACAGGACAAAACTCTTTAGTTTTTTAAATGCTTCAGTTCTGGGATTCGGAAGCGCCAGATTCTTGTTTTCCGCTCCCCTGCAAGCGTGGTTGGGACGGAGAAGCGACAGTAGCAGAGGTAGAAATATGATCCTCACGCTACTCTCTAATGCATAAATATTTAAAATCTTGCTAGGATATTTTAAAATAGTATATTTAATTTAGGGAGTATTTTATATTGTTAAAAAATAAATCAGCCTGTTGAATCAGCTTAAGTTTCATGGTTAGTTTTCATCTCTGCGTTTCCTACCTATTTCAAGAGTAATGTGATACGTTTCTGCTGCAGAATGCTAACTTACACCATATGTGGCATCTGGAGAAGTTGTGATTAAAGGGTACAGTTACGTTCTTTTTCTGATTAAGAGATAAATGTTCCCTTTGTTTTATTTAATTGAGTTATGTAAAATAAAAAGGAACATTGAGGTAGAGCAATCTTTGGGATTGGTATGATGGGAAGAGTAATGTAAATGGAAATTAAAAGCCATGTCCATTGTAACATTAGGCACTCTGAAACACTAACATAAGCGGAGTAATACACAGCTCAGTTTTCTCAAGACAGGGAGGAGTGTTTCTTACAACTGTCGTAACATTTTTCTAAGTATGTTGCTATAAAGATAGCTACAGATATATTTATCTTGTCATCTTAATTCCAAACGTTGCAGCAAATACTGGTAGAGTGAAAGCAACATACATGGAAAGAAATTTTTTCACTCAGTGTATGCCTCCTGCTGACTTCTCCCCTACACCTCCTCCAATTCCTCATCAAATAACTCATCATCGTAAGCTTAATGTCCTTACTTTGAAGGCACTTCCTGATCCATCTTTGCTGCACTAACATCTTCAGTGTGTCACAAACATTAATGCCATCCTTTACTTAATAAATACATACACATGCACATACATAGGTATAAAAATTTAAAATTAACATCTTTCTGCTTTCTCAGTGCTGTTTCCAGTAGGAATGCTTTGAGGGTTTCTGTCTCGTTATCTTCCTCCAAGATTTGACTTTTAAGTGTTCCTTTGCTGTTGAGTTTTCACAAAAACCCCAACAACAAAACCCTTGCTCTCTTGACATACCAAAGGCCTGACTAATATTTCCTTGTTATTGTTTTCTTTCTGCCTGAATCCATCTGTCACTTGTTTATATATTTGAATTGTGAGTTATTTGTAGTAGATAACTTCAGTTTACAATTACACTCAGAAATAAGCCGGGCGAATCCTAGTACGAGGAAGTGACAGGGGCGAAATAACTTCCAGTAGCAGTTACTGTTTATAATTTGGTCCCATTTTTAGTGTGGGGTTAAGTGCAGAAAAGCCAAGCCCTGTAGAATGTTAAACTCTTGGTGTTTTGATAAAACAAATGCTGGCTGTGTCTGTAAATTGTGTGCAGCCTGCCTTGCTCTCTAACCTCAAAAAGCATGACCCAGTGGAGGGCCAGTATCATTATTCCAAAAACAGTGAGTTTCTTGGGAGAAGCTTGTACGTATACCTATTAGGTTACTTTTATTTTTACTGTAATAGGCATTTAAGAGCTTAAAACATGAATTCAGAATAAAAACACATTATAGTCTGGAATAGAGGAATCTCCCTGCTGAATTACCCTTGGAAAACAGACTCAGCTTCCTTGTAGGGGTGTCAGGCGCCCAACGAAAGGTTAACAGCTACGCATGCACGCACGTGTGGACAGGCACTCTGCGTGCCGTTTTGTGCTAATAGTTTTTGTTTGCACGTGCACATCCAGGGCACGCAGGGTTTCAGGCACTGTTGTGTCGATGCTCTCTTGGAATAAGGCCCTGTAGGCTAAATGACCTGGGGAGGGAAGCGTATATGCTCATTTCCCAAAGCTATAGGTATTGATGAAGTTGTCTTTAGGTGGAAAGGAAACATGAGACTTGTTTATATGGTGAGTCAAGCTAGAAGACAATTAATTTGATTGCAACTGTTTAGGTATGTGCCTCTTCACGTTCTAGTCAGTGTCTAGAAATGATCATATCAAACACACTATCATTATAATCAAATTGCATAGAAGTCATCAAAACTACACGTCAGCCACTTAATTATTTACAGTGCCCTTTTTATTACAGCTCTCTTACATAGGTAAATGACATAGTTGCGTATTTGCACCCTTCTCTCTTTCCAGGAGCTGTCTCGTGTAAAGCTCCTTGTTTTCATGGAATCTAACACTTACTGTTGTGGCTTGTGCTGTGGTTCACTGGAAACCTCAAGCTGTTAAAACCATCCCTGCAACTGAAAGAAGTGAAACTGCCCTCTCCCGCCCTCTTGCCTCTCCCGGCAGAAATGCTTAGTTGTGCTGTGCACTGGCTAGGAAAAATTGATTAGTGTTAAAGTTCACCATTTTTTTTCCATCAGACTAATTTTACCTAGCGTTATTCTGTGTGCTCTGGATAGTGAGCGTTCTAGAGGAGCTGCAGCTGCTCTTGCCACGATGAAACAACTAAACCTGATTTGTATTTTAGGATCGGTGGGACTCGAGGTTGCAGTGCGATAGAATTCCAGTGGAGCTGTTCCCTTTGAGTCCTGTAAATACCGGTGCTAATTAATTTATCAGTCTGGGACTTTTATCATCCAGATGCTAGCAAGAGCACGATAGTGTGGCTGTGCTTCAGCAGCTGGTGTGGTTGGGTTGACATTTTCCGACGGCATCCCTCCCGAAGGAGCGGTCCCGTCGTGCCGGCCAGGCTTCCGAGCAGAAGCACACGGGAAGCCTTTGGCTGCTGCCCGCTGCAGACCCTGGTGGGCACTGCTGCTGCTACTCAGCACTGGTGGTTGGCTGGTGTTGTTAGGGGGGAGACACTGGCAGCACTGGGCTCGCCTTTTTCAAGGCATTTGTCTTCCCTCCGTTTTCCTGGGCAGAGAGAAAGTTTACCTCTGCTTAAGACTGATTAGAAAAAAAGAGGAGTCTTTCTGCTTGAACAGTTCTTCCCTTCCTCCTGCCGGGAGGAAGAGCCTGAGGATTGCATGGAGGCACTCTGTGAGCTGAGGCATTCCTCACCATTATTTCTTCAATTTGTGATATACAACCTTACACAGTTTGTATGGCTTATTTTGATAAGCCAGAGTTAAATTTGCTACAGGTAAAACTCATTTTGTTTGGCCTCAGGAGCATCAAGACCTCCCCAGGTTTCTCAGATCTTAAGATGGATGATTAATGATGGAACTGTGCAAAACGCTGTTTCGGGTTTGATTTTTGGATGTGCCGAAGCTAGAGACGTCTCTTGCTGAGACGGTTTTCCTTTGGGAAGGGGGTCAGGGAAGCACTCATGGACAGTAGCAGTGGAATTTTGGTGGAACAAAAACGTGCGTGAGATTGCTGTGGTGCTTACAGGGCCTGGTGTGCTGCGTGGACGTGCCCCATCCGCAGTCCAGCCAGCTCTCCAGAGCAGCCGCAGCGCCCGAGCTCGCTGAGCGTGGCTGGTCTGGAGGGGAGTGTATCGGGGCACTGAGAAAAAAAAAGGCTGACTGGCCTGTAGTCCTCAGCAGTAGGAACTGCAGTGTTTCTTCCCAAGTTTCATAATGTCCCTTTTCTATGTGTCTGCCTTGCCTCTCCTTCTTTTCCCCCTTTCCTGGCTTACCTCCTCATGTGGCTCCTCTCCCTTTGGAACAGCAGTTAACCTCTTACTTTATTTCGCTCATGTTTTTTAAACCTTAGACTCTTCCTGGTCAGGCACTTACTGGCTGAAGACCAGCAAGCAGGGTGTTACCTCTTTTCAAGTTTCCTCATAAATAGCTTTTTATCTTTTTTTTTTTTCTTCTGGAATTGATAGATTCTAGTTTCTCTGCTTTATTGGACTGTCTGTTTTTCTGCGTGGTCTTCTTCTCCCCCTTGTCTTCTGTATCCAAGTTTCCTATCTGATTTTTGAATTGCATACTTTTCGGTGTGAAGACAGTCATTGAGTCAAAGAAAGATCTACGCTGGAAGGGCTCTCTGGGGTGATCTAGTCCAATCTCCTGCTCAGAGCAGAAATAACACCGGGGTTAGATCAGGTTGCTCAGGACCTTGTCCAGAGGAGTTTTGAAATTATGTGCGTTACCACACAACTGCACTTTCTGCTTGTCAGCTGAATGAAATCCAGTGAAGTTCTTGGGAAAGCTGTCAGGGGCCTGGTTAGCTTTTGTTTTGTTGTTTCTTGACATTGTACCAAGATGTCATAGCTACTGGAACTGTCTGGCTCTGTTTTACTCACCATTTGAAAGGTGGGGTATTTTTCAAAAATTTTCAGGTTTATTAATGTAAAAGAAAACTTAGTGTAGAGCTGGTTTTATGTATATGTATATCCTGTTTCAGTGCTTGATAAGGTGAGGAAAATGTTTACCCCTGGCTTGCCTAATTTGAATTTTCTGAGCACGTGGTTTGGCTCATTCTCAAGTTTATTCCTCAATAATATTGTTATTTCAGTCACTTAACAAAGAATGGCTGCGTCCAGTATTCTAAATTATGTTTTGGCTCACAGATGTTACAAAATCTATTAATAGCTTAGTTAGAGTGTGCAGAATAAACTAGGATGTAGTTGTCTGTGATGTTGCTAGTGACCCGCAAGAATCATTTGTACTACATGTTGAATAGCTCATTCAGAACCGCTTAGAAACTCTGCCTTTGCTTGCCTATCTTGCTCGGAGATTTCCTGATACTATAGTGTGCTGGCAGTGACTTTGTAAAGCGACCTCTCTGTGTTTTGGATTGTGTCTTTTAGATGTAGAGTACATCATCCTTTGCATGTAGCAAGTACTTATTGCTAACGTCATACTTTAAAACAACCCTAAAATCAAGTGCATTTGTTATAATTACAAAAGAAATTTGTTTTCCAGCAATTTTTCTGTTAACTCCACTAAGAAAATGTTTAAACATATAAACAGAGTAATACAGTTAAATGGAAGAATTTTGTGTCCTTAACCTACATAAATAAAATGCATCAGAATCTGATAGCAGCATTAATGCAGAAAAACAACTGTCTGTGCCTTGCAGTGCATATTTAAGAAGAGAAGTACAAAATTTGTCATGTGCATAGCCAGGAAAATAGGATCATGTTTGTAATATTTGCTAATCTCGGAAGTTTTCATTGGAAGAAAGACATTCAAATAACCAAAAGGCTTTTTTTGTCGTGAAGTTACTGTTACTTTGCAATCTGTCCAATACTGTATTAGTAAAAAATTTGTACTAAATCTGTGAAAAATTAGACTCTTAAATTTGTAATTAGTATCATATCTTTGAGTAGCTTTTAACCTAAATATGCCATTCTTTGTTAAATATCATACTTTTCAGACCATGATAAGCATAGAGGTTTGGCTTAGACCTTTCTTGAAGATACAGTTGGACCTCTTTGCCTGGAGTAAGTTTCAAGATGTCATTAAAAAAAAAGCCCTCTTGGACCATGCAATGTGTTTCAGATGTACTTATTTTCACGAGGATAATCCAAATGGATTTCTTAAAAAAAATGTAACTGCTCTGGTGTATTTTAGAATGTTCCTTGGTTGGGTCATGTAACTGAAGTTTCTTAACGCGTGACGTTTGAGTTGTATGTGTGAACGCCTGAAGGACTTACAATGGATTCTGTTACCTTGATTCTAATATCTTCTTATTTCTATTATTTATTTTAGGAAACACTCCTTTACATCTTGCTGTGATGTTGGGACATAAAGGTAGGTAAAAGCCATCAATTTTGTTAGCTCTTAAATTATCTTGAAGGCTTAGGGGCAAGAGGAAAAAAGATTTTTTTCAGTTTTCCTGAGCATGATTGTGTGTTTCGAGCTAGTTCAGAGTTGAGGTTTTCTGAAGAGAAGATGCCATGCAGATTTAGAAGAGAAAAGTTGGAGAAGAAATCAGAGCTGTTCTTTAGGCCAAAATCAAGGAGCTAGGTGGTGAATGGGGTAGGGTGGAAATGAGTTGTAGCGGTTGGACTCTTTATGAGCCTAGAACAAGAACAGCGGGCGGACCTGGCTCTGCTCTTTTTGCAGAGTTAGAAGGAAATGGGAAACTTGGAATATTGTACAAGGTTGAGAAGCCACTCTAAGCAGTGGCACGTGCACGCCTGCTTCCCCTTTGGGGTCCCAGCGGCTGAAGCAGAGGGATGTGCTCAGTATGTGTAGGCAGGGGACTTGATCCAGGCAGATCTCTGTTTTAAAGTGCAATTAATTCACGGTGCAAAAGGGTTATTAATTGCTGTTTGTGTGATGATACCTTTTCTCTTTGTCAATACAAAGGGTTTACCAACTTCAATTCAGTATGGTTGAATATTTGTTCTAAGTCTGTCTTGAAATTTGGTTATTTTATGTTTTGGCTCCAAGATAAAAAGCAATCTAGTCAATGCTGACAGATTCCTTGAATAGGAACTATCCTTGTGTATAGTCTCGCGAGGAGAGGAGAGGCATTTCTTCCCTCTACTCCTTTTCTCTTTGCCTGCATGTTTTAGATTTCAGTTTGCAGTTCATATCTTGGTTTCTTTCCATATAGTCAGTCATCCCGTGTGTAAATGCCTTAGGGTGCTCGTGGTGAGCCTTTGCCTGGCGCAGGGCTATTTGTGCATGACATCCAGCACAATCTCTGGTTTTACTGTTTTGGCTTTGAGTCCTGGGTAGTCAGGGATCCTCCAGGAACCCCAGGTCCTTTCCTACCTTGTTTGTCTCCTTGATGGTGAAGGCCAGTTTCCTGTCTTTCTGGGGTGATGCATATAGACTATTCAGCTGTATATAGCAGCATTACAGCCAGTCTCTTCTGAAGTGCAGGGTGAATTTACATCCTGTTTGTTTAACTGAAGACGTAATCTGGCTGGTAAGCTCAAGCTTATTTGCCTGCTCACTGTGCAGCGTTGTAATTGTTAGGCACTGTATTTAAGCAACCATAAAAATACTTCTCTGTGTTTGCTGACAGAGTAGTCAGGGCCTTTGTTTATTTGCCACAAAAGACAGTATATTCACCAGGGAAGTATCTCTTCCTTTCCAAACACTGTGCTTGCCAGTGACTCAGGATTGTTGCATCTGGAATGACCGGTACGGTTTCCTGTTAACACCTCTAGTAGGAGAATAATCCAGGAAGTTCCTCTATCCATCATGCCTGCCCATCCTATTCGTAATGAGACATTCCTTCAGCCTACAGCTCCAGCTTGGCACTGCTCTGTCATTCGCAGATGGGTCAGGTTGATTTTAATGAGATGTGGTGAGGAAACTGTCTGTAGTTAGAAACTGAAGAACCGTTTCAGACGAGGGCAGCTTATTCAAGACACGGGAGACACTGAAAGCTTTCCTCCCTCCTTAATTTCAAAGACTGTCATTCCACCATCACTTTCTACCTGTAGACAGAGAAGGGAATGCGAGCTGAGCTGTGACTCCGCTAGGAATTTGTGGCTTTGAGGTGTTGGCGTTGCTTTATCGGCAGGGCGTGAGCACGCTGCGTGCCGGGGGAGCGCTCGCGCGCGCTCCGGCCGCTGCTATTGATGAGAAACGTCGCGCGTTACCTCCCTGCTGAGGGAGCACAGGGGCGTGAGTTGCCTGCTCTGTAGTCATTGCTCCAGGTAGCCAAGCTGGTGCCACCATGCCTGTCATTTGTTGTACAGCCGGCACGGCACGTGTCCTGAGGCTTCCCAAGGTCAGAGCGTGCCCGTTTGCCCGCTTGTTGCCACCAGATGTTATAGAGCGCGTAGGGACGTGTTAGTGGCGCAGCTTCCCCTCTGCCTCCCCTACACGCGGCGTTCTCGAGAGCTCCCCCAGGTCTGTGTCTGCACGTTTCTGGCGGATCTGCTCCCCGCTGGGCAAAGGGGGGTTGAGAGAGGGAGAGGAGGAAGATGACGCACAGCTTCCACGTGTGGAAAACCACGAAGTGTGTTTTGGTACGTGGCTTTGTGCATTCAGCGGGGAGAGCCGAGGTGAGGCTTTAAACGTCTTTGTTATGTGGCTGTGGGTGTGTGTATGTGCACATAGAGACATACGGCTTTATAAAAAGCAAAATCAAAGAAGCAGAAGGGACGTTTCTTCAGTGGTTATGTAATTGGTTGTTGATCAACAATTATGTTTTCAGTGCTAATGTTTAACAGGGAAGTGCTGTAAGTACTTACGTAAATGCTTTGTTTAAGGTTTGAGTCATAATCCATCTACGTATTTTGATAAACTGTTTAGTATATTGAAAATCTACTACTTTTGCTTTATTGTTGCTTCCTTTATTATGAATGATACATGTATTGCTACATACTTGCTATTTACTGTAAATATTTATCACTACTTTGTTACAGAATGTGCCCACTTGCTTTTAGCCCATAATGCTCCAGTAAAGGTGAAAAATGCTCAGGGATGGAGCCCTCTTGCAGAAGCCATCAGCTATGGAGACAGACAAATGAGTAAGAACTTCTGCTTCCCAATTAATGAGAAACTGAGGCTTCATTCAGATCAGGAAGACAAAGGTTTTCAACTAGGGTTTTTTTATAATACTCCTATTTTAGTCCTCTGAAGAGTTTGTCTTAATCAGCTGAGCTTTTTTTACATCTAAACATGATACAACAAGCTCTACACATGTCCATTTTCTTGATAAGAAAGAAATTACATTAGGAAAGAAAATGCTAAGTAGAGGTAAGATTTTGTTTAAAGTGATTGTGAAAGCTGTAAACTAGCATTCTGTATTTAAAGTTGGAGTTACAAGCTCAGAATGGATTTTAGCTGTATGGGATCATCTAACTGAAACTGCTTCGTGTGGTCATACGTATTTTGGATGTATCAGCTGGCAGTGGGATATTGCTTTTATGTTGCCTCTCAACAGGCCAGCAGGCAAATACAGTGATTACTTACTTCAGATAGATAGTAAAGGGAAAGTCATTCTAGTGCTACTCACTACTGGATGTTAATAGTATTTGGTATTACCATGTCCCATAGCAGAAAACTCACTGTGTGTTATATATATATATTAATATATTATTAATATATTAATACACTAGTCTGTAATATGCTAATGACATTCTTTGTGCCCGCTCCTCACTACTAAAGAATTTTCTCTGTGGGAACAGATGTTACGCTAATCTATAGGCTCGTGTTCAATAGCATACATGTGTACCCACATGTTTACTAATATGCATGCAAAAGACCTCTTGACATGATTGTATGCTTTATATTATAAACGATTATTGAGGCTTTTCTTCCCGTTGTGATCAGAGTAGGCTAGGCATAATTACTGTAACTTGAAGAGAGTTTCTCCAGAGTCTCATGAAACGTTACTTTTGCGTTGTTTTTTCTTCTTTTAAGATGTCAAATAATGTCACTAACCTGTCATTAACAAGCAAATAGAATAGATTTACCTTACAGTCAATTTGTGTTTAGTTACAGCACTCCTAAGGAAGCTTAAACAGCAGTCCAGGGAAAGTGTTGAAGAAAAGCGACCTCGATTATTAAAAGCCCTGAAAGAGGTAAGTTCAAGGCAGTTGTGCTGACAAAAGCAGTGTGATGGAAAGCAGTGGCTCGTGTTCTTCGTATGGACGCTCTGGCAAACTGTGAAAAAGTTTTCTACTTGTTTTTAGAAATCTCTTTTGCTCTTAATAGCAGTCTTGGCTTACAGTGTCCATTTGAAGGGGTCACAGACTTATGTGTACTTTTAAGATAATACTTCCTTCTTGACTTCTAGAAATTCAAATAGAAAGGTTTATGTAAGACAGACCTGCTAGTTGTCTTTACAGTCTAAAAGTTAAAGAATGTATTTCTATTCTGTATTTATTTCATTAGATTTGTAAGGCTTTCTTAGATCTTCTGTTTTGGTGAATAATTTACTGGTTTTGTTTAGTCCCCAATCATGAATGACACTTCCTTGCTTAGTGATGAAAGAGATTTTTGGTTTAGTTCTCCATCTACATGCAGCAGCCAATTCTCCTTGAGCACAGTGAAACATTCCTCAGTTTAGGGAAACCAAGAAGAAAAGCTCAGTTTCCTTCATTTCAAACTGCTACTAGTGTGCTAAAGCTGTGCTTATAAATTGCAGGTGTTTATTTCCCTTTAGGTGGGATGAGATTTTTCTGCCTAGTCAAGTGGTAAAGCCTGACTGGGTTTGTAGGAAACCAACTATTTATCATAATTAAACGATATATGTGAAAAGTTGAGCTGAACTGTGTCAGTGATAGACCCTATGAGTACCCTCTGCCAGCGTTCCTACATTTTTCGTTGATCCAAGAAAAAAGGAAAAAAACCTGCTGTCTTGTCTAGAAGTGAAAAGCTTTCAGTTTTTGTGTGACAGCCTTGCTAAAACAGCGCTGCTGTTCCTTAGTCCTGCTGGGGCGAGACCTGGCCTGGAGTTGCCTATTTGTCTTCTTGTGTGGAGTGAAAGTATGTGGCTACCTCGGTGTACTACCAACATTTGCTAATTTTAGTCAAGCCACCCCTTACTTTGCTTTTGCTTTGCATAGAGTTTAAAGGAGCTGGCTGGCATGTGTTTACAGAGGTAGACGAATTTTTATACGATGACTTAAGCATATTTTCAGAAGGCAAATTGAAAGCTGTGCATGTGAATACTCCTAGCTGAAACTTGACTCATTAAGCCAGAACATCTAATTCCATGGAGTTGGATGTGATCAAAACAAGCAAAAGAGCTCCATAGGTTGTTTATTAAACACATATTTGCAATAAATCTTTTACGTTACACAGCTTAATAGCTGTGTAAATGATTGTTTTAAAAAAATCATTAAAGATGGGTAATACAAATGAGTTTTGTAATTTTATCATTATTGATTCTGCTCTAGTTAAAGCTTCAGAAATGTTTAAGGTCAGTATAAATGCAAATGCTAACAGAAAATGTTTTCTTTGTTTGGCGAAACACAACTTGTGCCTACCTGTCAGCAAATTTTATAGTTGTCTTTTAGACTAAAAAGCTTGTTAATATCTTCTTCTCTTCATCTCAGCTAGGTGACTTCTATCTAGAGCTTCACTGGGATTTTCAAAGTTGGGGTAAGCAATTGTACATTCCTTTCTTAGGGAGATAATATAATCAGTCCAGCACGCTTGTTCTCTCAAGCTTGAATTCTCTTCTGGCTTGCATGTTGGAAAGTTCACAATCCACTTCTCATGATCTAAGTTATAAAGAAAGGACAAACAACTTTTTTTTGGCTGAGTTATTTTTGCTTATTCATTTTTGGAATGGAATTCTATAATCCAGTGGCACAGTATGGTGTGTGTGTGTTTGGGGGGGGGGGGGGGAACAAGCTGTTGTTTGCTTTAAGAAATTATCAGAAGAGTAAAATATTAAAATGTCTATCTGATCAGTCGATGTCCGTGCAAAGCAGTGACTTGAACAATTTAATTGAGTAACTGGACTTGGGGCATTTAATTTCCTGAATTTCAGCCTGTACTCTGAATGGTGACTGTCAGTTAAGTGCAACAATGTGGTAGGTTCTTCAAACCCTAGCTGCACCTTAATGTTTCTTTTATGTGACTGTGTAACATTCAGTGTTTTCTCAATTCCACCTCCTCTCATCTGTAGAAGAAAAATCTACGTAAATTAGCAAAAAATGTATTACCAATGATCAACATGTCTGAATAACGTCAAAATATTGGAAGCGATACCTTCTGTTACTGGTTGAAATTGAAGTTAGTAATCTTACATACTTCCATATAGGCACAGTCTGAGTATTTGCTGCACTATGCCTCTTTCACTATCCAGAGGAGGAATGAGCAGCCAGGCTGCCATCAAACATTGAACAGACGTGGGACAAACACCTCGTCTTTTTAGGTGGCCTACCGTGTGCGGCACATTTAATGAGGGGAGGGAGTTCTTCATGGGAGAGTCAGCATGAAGCAGAGAGTAGAGCTGGGCGTGGAGTAAGACAAGGCATTGCGTAGTGGCGAGACTGCAGCCTGGCTCGCAGAGTCAGACGTCGCACAGGAGAGGTGATGCCAGAGGCAAAGCCAGCTTCCAGGGGTCTTCTCCTCCAGGAGTCTCACTGAACTGCTGCTTACAGTAGTTAGCTTTCCCTCTGGATTCTCAAAGGGAAAAAGATGCACTGGGCAGTGCCTCTGTCCTCACTACCGGTCCTCTAGACTAATTACGCTTTACAGGTGGTCTTATTTCTTTATAGCTCACTTTGAAGAAAGTGTTGAACTGCCACTGTGTTGAATTGGTTTAATTGCTGTAAAGTAAATGGTCCTTTTTTAGAATAAGTGCAGCTGCAGTCTCACGTATCCATCTCGTAATACAATACGGACTCACAGTTCCACTGGTGGTTTAATGTTTGCTTGGTGTTTTAAGCTTAGTGCGTTGGGTTGTTTGTTTTTTTTTTTTTTCCTGCTTGTGGGTGTTCTGCTTTAATTGTAGCTGGGCTTTCAGTTGGTACAATATAGAAGTACACTATCAAATCATAGAATTAAAATTTCAAAACAGCTGGAATAAAAGTTAGTAGAATTAATAGATAATATAACTGTGGCTGAGGATACTTTAAGTTATGTCCTGATGCTGAAAGTAGTCTGTACAATTACAAATCGGTTCGCAGTTATTGAGTAGAAATAACCATGTACTAGTCAGTTGTATTCATACTGAGATGATGGTGGAGAATGCGTATGTTGTATTTGTATTAAAATACATCAAAATTCAAACAGATGTACAGTTTTAATAGAAACACCTTGCAGAGGAACCTCCTGTCCTAATTACATTCTCTCTCCCTACTTCTAGTGCCTTTACTTTCCCGAATTCTGCCTTCTGATGCATGTAAAATACACAAACAAGGTATAAATATCAGGTAAGTACTGATTTTACAGTATGTGTCTAAGTCATAAATATCTGCATGTCAGTGAAGATGCTGGATTCCAGTGGGATCTGCAGGAAATCACGGAGGAGTCTGCAAACATTTGTGAAACAGCACTGTGTTTGTACATTGGCATTTAGAGGCAAGAAGTGGTTTGAACTTCAGACTGTCTTTTTTTTCCTCTTGATCTGAATTGAACTTAAGTTCCTGAGTCAAAATACAGAGCAAAAGGAGTTAAGCTGTATAAGGCTTTATCTTCTGACATAACACTGATTAATTTGAAAAATAGGAATTTGATCTTTTTTAACACAATTTCAGATTGTGTGGAGGAATGTTACTGCTCCAGTCTACGTAGTAGAAATATTGGTATAGTTTATTTTTTTAAAATGCTCAATGTGACAGATTCACAAACTCCATGGAGTGCTTCCAGGGGTCTTTGCAAGCTCAGCTCTTTAACTGGTTTAGTTTGGGGGTTTGGGTTCAAAGGTCTTTTCTGTTTTTAGGTTCCAAAGTTTAAAACAAAATGTCGACAATATCACGCGGAAGATTCAGTCTGTAGAAAATGTTGTTCTATTAAAGCTGTTAGCATAGGTGTGTGAACTGAATTTTTAGGTCAAATTTGGGCCTGGGACCACTTTTTTCCTTCTCATTTCTGTATGCTCTGCTTCTAAGAGACTGGGAGTTCTGGTACTGGCACTGAGGGGAAAGAGCTACAGATTCTTTCTTGAAATCAGGCCAATGCGTGATGAGTATTAAACAGTCACCCCTTAGAGCTGAAGTGGTCACTGAATTCAGGTTCTTTAACCATCCTTGTTAAAGAAGGAAATATTCTAGCACTAATGGATATGAATTACTAGAGACATCTTTGTCCTTGGCTCCACCTCCTAGCTATTCAGGTCAGGAGAAGCATTTCTTTTGTGGTGGTGAGGGGAAAAAATAGAAATAGCAACTAAAATAAGTCAAATAAAAAAATTCAGTCTGTTTCTTAGTCCTCTTCATAATTTGGGTCATGTCCTAATACTGTTACTCGAATTGGTGGCTGCTTCGTGTCGAACAGGATGCTGATCCTGTGGAGTAGTTGTATTTCTCAATGTGTAGCATGTACTGGCTGTATAAATTCTGTCACTTCCTCAGGGCTGGCAGTTTTGAAAAAAAGCTTCGCCTTTTCCTATGAAGATAGTGTAAGGAGAGTTTGGAATGCATTTATAATGGTCGAGAGGTGACAGTGTGAAACTTAGGAATTGTTAATAGCAATTATTTTTATTTCTGCATCCAGGCTTCACTTATTAAATATTCTATGAAAACTTAGGCCTTAGTGTGTTTGGTTGTGGTTAGAAAAAACAATAAAATGCTTCTGCTTACAAACTGAGCTTACGAGTGTATTTGAGTGTTTACGGAAAGCTTCCTTTAAAGTATTGGTATATTTTCACAGACTGGACACAACTCTCATAGACTTTACCGACATGAAGTGCCAACGAGGGGATTTAAGCTTCATTTTTAATGGTGACGCCGCACCCTCTGAATCTTTTGTAGTTTTAGACAATGAACAAAAAGTTTACCAGCGAATACATCACGAGGTAAAGATCTGTGTGAATGTCGGGTGTGAAATACCTCAAGCTTTTACTTCACATCAGAAGTCTGGCCTGTTCTATTAAACAGAGTGTGCCTGTCAAAAAGACCCAAACAGGCACCAAAGAAATGCAGAGCAAAGGATTTGTTGTTCAGTTGTTACAACTTAAGCTGTATAGGCAGCCTAAAATTTTGCTGTGAAAAACAGTGCTTTTGAATACAGACTTCTAAATGAGGAAAAAGCTAGAATGTGAATCTTCTGGACAAATCTTTGTTCATTCTGAACAGGCAAATACGTTTGCAGTGCTACTTTTAGTTTTTGCAGCGGGTTTAATTTAGGTGTCCTCAGGTGGGTTTTCAAACTTGCTTGCCACTGCTTTGCATCTGTTCAGTCACCCCGTGGCCAGTTGAGTTGTTAGCAGTGCCAGGGGTATGATTCGTTGCACCCCTTGTGTTTAGTCAGGTTTTTAATCATCGCTTTATCCACCAGTCACTTCAGCATATGGATCTGTGCCTGTGGAAAGGGTGTGGCTGCTGAGCCTCCGGATAAGTCATACTTGGATGCTTTATTTGCATTAATATTTAAGATTAAACTATTTGATAACCATTTGGCCAGAGCTTCTAGAAAACAGTTTGAAAATTTAGGAAATGCTAGTTCTGGGAACGGCTCCAAAGGAAAATGTTGATAGATTTTTTTTTTTTTTTTAATTTATTATTTTTTCTAGAAGTAGTAATCATTAAGTTTTATTTCGGAATTTTTCGCCTAGGAATCTGAGATGGAAACAGAAGAGGAGGTTGACATTTTGATGAGCAGTGATATTTACTCAGCAACGTTATCAACCAAATCAATCACCTTCACACGTGCCCAAACAGGATGGCTTTTTCGAGAAGACAAAACAGTAAGCTGAAAGGAAATTTCACAGCCTGCATTGCTGGAGGCAAAATAGTTCAGACAGCCTTATGATGATGTGGTTGGGAAAAAATAAGGAGTAAAAGATTAAGATGTTCCAGATGAGGAAAAATGTCTCCCCTACCCCCACAGTTGTCAGTAGTTTGACCACGTAGGAGGTATATGAAGGACGGTCTTCGTAAGAGAAAAGTAGCCCAGAAGAAAGAGGACAAACTGTAGCTATTGAGCAGGGGGAGAACAGATCACACTGAAAATTACTTTACTGTAGGAGTAGATGGTCTCTGCAAATTGACTGCGGGGCGTGCAGTAAGGGTTCTGTGCGCTCCCGTGTCAGAAATGCCGGGGGTGGGAGCGTTCGGGGTGTCCCTTCCCGTGGGTCCGCAGCTGTGAAAGGACTGAAACGGCCACCGTCGGAGCTTCTGGGAGTGGGAAGTTGCTGCCTGGTGACTAGCTCTGGAGGATTTTGTTGTCATCTGGATCTGTTTGGGTACTGCCATTCATCGCAGGTTTTCGCCCGAGCTAGTGTTTCAGAAGTTTTTTCCTTTCGAATTCCAAATCCATATTCTACGTGTGCAAATGATCCTTTAACACAGCTTGCTGCGGAAGGAAATTTTAGTCAGATTGCCCTTGGCCACCCTTAAATTCAACGATCTTTTCTGTCTTAAAGTTTCCATTGATGTGAAATACCTGTTTCCGATGGAGTTCTTGTGTTGTGCTGTACATACCTTGCTGTCCTCTGGTAGCTGTGTGGTTGGTTGTGTAAATTACAACACTTCAATCCTGAAGTTACTGCACTGAAGTGCAATTATTTGGATGTACAGGAATTCAGGTGTTTTTCTTTTATCTTCTGTGGGTCGTTAATGTCCACTTCCTTTCGTGCAGGAAAGAGTAGGAAACTTTTTGGCAGATTTCTACTTGGTTAACGGACTTGTATTAGAATCAAGGAAAAGAAGAGAACATCTCAGCGAGGAAGATATTCTTCGAAATAAAGCTATCATGGAGAGCCTGAGTAAAGGTGGCAACTTAATGGAACAAAACTTTGAGGTATACTTAAATAATCCTTTACAGTACGTGAATTTTTGCATAGGAGAATAATCTTTCGCACCAGTCATTTAGCAAAATCTGTAGATAATGTTTTTATTCTATTTTGATTGTCTTTAATTTTAAAATTTTAAAACATGACCTACAAGTATATTCATGGTGATGTGCTAATGAATTATCCTGATTAGTGCACACATTGAGGAATTTCTGTGCTTAGATTGGATATTTAATTCTTAATTTGTCTCTTAGTAAAAGATGATGGGTTTGGCTGCGGCAGATCACTTGAACTTCTTTTAGACCAACTGTTTATTGTTTAGAATGCCTTTCTGGTTTTCTTTTCCATCGTGTTTCCCTGCAGCTTAATTAAAACGGAGCTAAGCCTGTTATTATCACCATGAAATCAAGAGCTATTCAGAGTGATCCAGACGTCATTTGGGAACATGCATACAGCCTTTTAAAAATGATTAATTTATTTCTGTATTAGCCTGTTCTTTGATACTTGTCATTCAGATACTTGAATTAACTGATTAGCTGATGCATTGAAATAGCCAACTTCTGTGTAAAATACAGTTTGAGGCCAAATACCTAAATGAGAGCAAGAGCAGGAGATGGAAAAGCCGAGTGAAGTGTCCGCTACAAACTGGATAGACTGTATTGCTGTTCTTTGTAGAATTGAAATGCAGTTGTGTCTTTTGAATGGCAAAATTCTAAGAGAATATAAGGAACGATAAAGAGTTAAGACATGTTTTTCTGAACAGCCTGTCAGACGGCAGTCACTTACTCCACCATCACCCAACACAATTACGTGGGAAGAGTACATATCTGCTGAAAATGGAAAGTAAGTGTTTTTGGCTTATTGGCACGAACTGCCGTAGACACCTTGAGATTATTGGCTTGGGGGCGTGTGTGTGGTTTGGGGTTTTTTGGGGTGGGTGGGGTTTTTTTGTGTGTTCTCTAGTTCATGGGTGCTTTTTGTTTAGTTTTCCGAGGACAGAGGAACATTGGGTTTAGCGTTCTTCAGTAGGCTTGCTGGAAATCACGCAATCATAGAAGAGTTTGGGTGGGAAGGGCCCTCAAAGCCCCCCCAGTACCCCCCCCTGCCCCGGGCAGGGCCCCCTTCCCCCAGCCCAGGGGGCTCCCAGCCCCGTCCAACCTGGCCTTGAACCCTTCCAGGGAGGGGGCAGCCACAGCTGCTCTGGGCACCCCGGGCCAGCGCCTCACCCCCCGCACAGGGAAGGATTTCTGCCTCAGATCCAACCTAAATCTCCCCTCTTTCAGCTTAAAACAGTTACCCCTTGTCCTATCCCTGTATGCCCTTGTATAAAGTCTGAAGCTGATCCTTGCATATGTAAACAGCATTATTGCATCAGCTGGTGATAAAAATATTGGGTGGGCATCTACCTGGTACCCGTGGCTTGAAATGCAAACATTTTGAAGATAGGCCCATCTAAGCCGGCTTTTTTTTAAGGAAGATTTTCTGACAAATGAATTGCTGTAATTCATTCATCTTCACTTATGATAGTAATAAATAATCTGATTCACCATGTGTAAAATAAAAGTCGATGATTTAATGAGACTCTCGTGGCTGTGGCAGTGTACAAAAACATGCCCTTCTGGAATACAGGGACATACTGATCTCCTAGTACTGGGTAGATCTTTGCAAGATACTCTCTGTGTGTAACTAGGTAGCAAGCAGCTATAATTAATTTACAGTAGTTTCATTTGTAGAAGATTCAAGCAGTTGAGTTTACTTTCCTAGTGAGTTTACTTTCACGCTGTCCAGCTGTTGAATGTAGAAGGACCAGAAAAACGTGCTGAGTGTGTCACAAGTAAGAATGATAAAAGTCCTTTCTCTGAGGACACTAGGCTAGCCTGTGGTCAGAGATTACCAGGGAATAGGATGATTCTGCAGTCCAGGCTCACAGGCACGTGGATCTGTTGTCATTTTTCATATTTTTTTTGTAGGTAGGTTGTTTGTTGTTTTTTTTTTTTTTTATTAATTTATTTTTTTTTGTGTATTTGAGATAGAATGAATATTCAAGCAGAATAAATGGGTTATGCTTGAGCAGCTACTGGAACAGAAATACATATGTATGTGAGATTTTGCTTTAATAATCTGGTTAGCTGAAGGGAGGTCTATGGGAAATCTAGGTTTGTAGCTAGTGTAAAGCAAAAGAGGAAAAACTTTTGTTACCTTATTTGTTACCTGTCTATTCCTCTCCTATAAGAGTATTTTCTGTCCTGTGTTTTCCAGTATTCCTTCTAGTGATAGTAGGGTAGCTTCGCTACTTTCTCTAAGATTGTTTCATTTTTTAGGCTGAAAGCAAATTAACCTTTTTCTAGTTCAACTTGATACTTAATTCAAATAGTTTATATGTGAACAACCATCTGGAATCACCTGTATGTATTTCTGGGGAGCTGTCATGTCTTTCTATAGTGTTTATTAATATAATGTTTATGATGAATTACTTGAAGTATTTTTCTTCAGCTGTTTCCCTGTCTTGTCTCCCAGTTTAGCAGTCCTCGTAGTAATCTAAATTAAGATGGTTACTGACTCATCTGTACTATGCTCAGCTTTTACTTTTAAAGTATTTGCTTTGCTGTAGGGTTTCTTTACTGACGTTTTCAAACCCGAGTCTGTCTGCCCGCCTTCCTTTAAAACCAGGGTTTCGCTGAGAGAAAAACTGACTTTGTCTTCCTCACCTCCTCCTTACAGAGCTCCTCATCTGGGTAGAGAGCTGGTCTGCAAAGAAAGCAAGAAAACCTTTAAAGCCACGATAGCTATGAGCCAGGAATTTCCCTTAGGAATTGAATCGTAAGTCAGAATCATCGGCCGTGAATGTTATTTATACGTAGGAAATGTTCTCATGTGGTTATGGACTGCAAAATTCTTCCCGTGTTCAGAGATGGGAATTTGGCAGTTTAAAACCTGTGAACGAGGTCGTGCTGATAAGCAAGTGAACTGTTAAAATTAGAGACCTCGGTGCCGGTGGGCCTGTTACCGGCAGAGCCAAGCGCTTATCTTTCTTGATGAGACCAGCGGTTTGACCAGGTTTATCATTAACTGGGCACAGTGCTGATGTGCCTGGTTCTACAGAACCCCGGAACGCTTTTGTGTGTAACAAGCTTTAGCACAAAGGTAGGTCCTCTCAGCCAGTGCAGAACCCTGCCGGGCTCCCCGTGTCCGTGGAGGGGATGGCGTGGTACTGCATGCTTCAGTCTCCTGCGTGAAATGAGGGCAAGAAATGAGTACCTGGATGTGTATTTGTACACCTGTGGTGATGCAGTGTGGCTCACTGAGAACTGGGTGTGAGGCTGCTGATGTTGAAGCTCGAAGGAGATGGCTATGCACGATGTAATTCTTCAACTCTGACCACCTTTCTCGTTGGGTCATTTTTATCTTTTATAGGGGGAAAGCTTGTGAAACAAGAATTTGTAATGAAATCTGTTTTCTTTTTTTCAGATTGTTGAATGTTTTAGAAGTCATTGCACCCTTCAAGCACTTTAACAAACTTAGAGAATTTGTTCAAATGAAGCTGCCACCGGGCTTTCCTGTAAAATTAGGTAAGATGACTACAGCAGCTCTTGTGGCTTTATATTCCCAAAAGGTGTGTACTTACTCATGCAGTATGTGCAAAACTGCTGTTGGGTTTTGGAAAAGAGCTCTCTTGCGTGGGCGTGTGTTGCTGTAGATTTCAGGAGAACGCAGTTAAGTTGGTGGAAGTCACATTAGGTAGGAAATGTGGAGCTGAGAGGTGAATATGGTCCTAGTCTGGAAGAGAGCTCTCTGCTTTACATTTTCCTAATGCCAGGGTCTCGCGCTAAGAGGAGTGTGGGTATACTGAATTATCCTTGCATCAAAGGATGGTCTCGGTCACGAGGGAAGTATCTGGTAGCATTTTTGTATTTCTTTTTCCTCAGGGATTACTGGTGATATATTTTTCACTTATAAATAAATAAAAAACTACTAGACTTCTAACAAATGGAAACGTATAAAGCAATTTATTCATGGTATAGATGATCACAGCGTAACCTGCCGAAAAGTAATAGTACCTTTTCTAAGTGGTGCAGGATTTCTTGCATCCCGAGAAGCTGCTGAAGCTCAGCAATTCAGAACAGACTGTGGCATCCCTCCTATTGTATTTCCTCTGTTTATTGAGGATTGAATTTGTGCTCAGCTCGCTCGGTCCGTTCAGTTGAGGGTAGCTCTTAAGTGCTCAACCTCGATTCAAATTGGAAAGGGGTTAATATATCAAATTAGAAAGCAGCGCACATTAAACAGGTTCACCTTTCGCGGGGATTCGCTCAGCTGAAGCCTACGTGTGCCAAGGTTATTTTATCTCGTATCGTCGTCTTCGGGCCAGCGTCCTCCCTGTCATCAGCTTGGCCTGTCTGCCCAGAGCACCTTGCTTTCCGTGTCGTCAGGCCGCGCCGAGGAAGGGGACCCACGGAATTACCCACCTTAGCAGCTCTTCCAGTGGCCCGTGGCGTTGGGTATTGTCTCCGCGCTCGGGGAACCCGAGTACGTTCCGAAATAACTTCCTTTCCACCACCTCCTTTTTTTTAAGAGCTTTGAGTCGCCGCTGTGTAGGATGCTAAACAAGCTTCTACGTCCTTAGCGAGTCCGAAGCTACGGATCTCTGAGTAGCAGTCGGTAGCTCCTGGCAAGCCTGTATTTCTTTGCTCTTCATTGTACCGTTTTGCTTCCTATGTAGATATTCCTGTATTTCCCACCATCACAGCCACTGTGACTTTTCAGGAGTTCCGTTACGACGAATTTGATGAATCCATCTTCACTATTCCCGACGACTACAAGGAGGACCCCAGCCGTTTTCCCGATCTCTAACTGCACGGGGAGGTTAACGGTGGATAACAATACCAGCGTACCGCAGCGACAGCAAAGGGATGCAGAGGGCCCACAGATACAGATAGAGAAGTGGGTCACACAGGAAGGGATAAACTTAATAATCCAGAAGAAAAGGGAACATGCATCAAATGACTGAGGTACTGATGCTGTAATGATCTAGTTCCTGATTTACAGAAAGTCTCCTGATGTGTCATTCACACTTTTATACGTCCCGTACTGTGAGCGTGGTGGTCTGGCACCTCGGTGACCCTGAGAATACTTAACAGCTGTGAGGACTATCGTTCGTTTTTAAATTTTTTTACATTTCTTGGTGATACAAAAAGCACTCTTGGACCATTAGCGTAACAGTTGAAATGTCTTGGCTGGATATTAGCCCTATAAAACATCCCACCATACTTACGCTGACCGTATTGTATTCTCTCAAGCTTTGTTTTCATGAATTGTAAACTATGTATCATTCTGTATAGCTCAGTAATTTGAATGTTAGTTGAACGTATGTTAGCAGGAATGCGTTTTCTGTAGATGAACGAACCAAATGGTAACCATTAAACAGTTGCATTTTCACGCTGCAATACACTTCAGAAATAGCATTTGCTCTGCAGGGAATCAGGTACCTCCTCCGGCACCTCGGTGCAGTCCACCGTGGTGCTATCCATGTCCCTGAACCCTTCGTTCTTAATTTCCTCCCCGAGCTGTTTGGCACCCTGCCCTCCGCGGGCTCCGCGCTTGACTCCTCCCCACCCTGCTGGCTCGGGAGCCCCTGCTGTGCCCGCGGCGCCGTGCTGATCAGCATGCTCGGAGGTTCCCGAGGTAGAAACTGTCACTTTTTCCTTCTTTTTTTCACATTCACTCGGGAGACTTGCTCCGTACCGGTTGAGCGGCACCGAGGTCGTCTCGTGTTTGTGTTCAGCAGCCGCTCGAACACGTGGGATGCAAATGAAGAGTTACTAGAACAAGAAGCTCAAGCATTAAATCGTCATATAAGAAAAAGTTTCTCTTGAAGTTAGTTTAATTGTAGTGCACACTGAATAGGGCTCACATCGGGAGATTTTATTTGCAAATGCTTAGGATGTTTCCAGCTTAATTTCCTTCTTCTCACTCTCCTGAATAGGCAGGCGTTCCAGTACTCTGGCTTCCTGAGCTTCTTCCCATTCCAAGGGGTTCCAGTCTCCCCGTTTGAGAACAATAATCCAGCTTTTTGGTTTGTTAGAAGGAGTTTGTGCAAAAGGCTAACGGTGCTATTTGTTTGTATTAAGAAACTTAGATTCAAGTGCTGTGGTGTAATTGTACAGAACTGTAAATATTTTCAGAATTATATTCTTTGTGCACTGTAGTTAAAACTTTTTCTGGAAATCGATAGAGTTGAGGATCAGACTTTACAACGAAGAGTACCACCGGCGCTTGGTAAGGGAAACCAACCCACCCGGCCGTGCGGGTGAGGAATGAGCTGGCTTCTCTCAAGGCAATAAAAGCTGACTGGCCAGCCACGTCGACAGAAGGTGGAAATACACGTGTGGAGCAGACGTTCCTTCAGAACTTCGGGAACCTGTCTGCGAAAAACCCAAAGAGGCTGCTCGAGAGAAGCAAGAGGATCCGCTCCGCCAGCGGAGTCCTGGCGGAGTGCGGCTGGACTGGGAAGGGGCAGCTGAGGCTGATCCTCTCCCGGCACCGCGAGAAACCTGCCGGTCAGGTGGGCACGGATCACTTGGCAGAGCGTGATCGAGACGCTGGAGCTGTTAATTCAAAGTCAAATCAAAAATAAAACTAGAGGGGGGGGGGGTAGGAAAAAGCGAAGGGAAAGGTAGAATTGTAATTACCTTGGAAGTGCCGGGTCGGTAGCAGATGCGGAACATCGGCTGGGAAGGAGAGGGCTTGTTCTTCCGAGTCGTCATGAATTCCAAAAGTGTTTTGAGATCTGTGCTGTAGATCGGCACCCACCTCGCGCTCCTCCTCGGGGCCGAGATCCTCACCCGGAGCGATGGGGCTGAACCCGTCCTGCCAGGCCTGGAGGTCGGGGCGAGGTGTCGGCGGGGCACCGACGCCCCTGGCAGGGCAGAACGTTTCGTGCGGCGGCGGGTGCGAAACCGAGCGCAGGAGCTGTGCAGGGGCAGCTCCAGCCAGCGCGGGAGAAGGCTCCTCTGCAAGGTGAACGTTAGAAATCGCCCTCAGCATTAACAGGGGAAGTGCCTCGTGCTTCGGATTACTCTGCATTTGTTCCAAATCGCCACCTCGGAGCTCGCTGGCCCCGGGAGGGTGCGGAGGCAGCTGGCGCTGCGTGCTGGAGGCGAGGCGGCGGCTGCAGCGGCCCCGCTCCTGGGCTTTAAAAACGAGAGCGAAGCTTTTTTTGTGCGGCCTCAGGTGAAAGCAGAGGGTTCTGTGTATCTGCGTCTGCCCGTGGCGTGTGCGGGTGGCAGCGGAGGCGTCTCGCCCGCGGCGGGCCGGGGAAACGTGCTCTGGGATCTCCGGGGGCTCTGCCTGCAGGTTTGGGGCGGGGGGGGGGGGGTTGTTTTTTTTATTTAACCATCATGATTACACAACTACTAACTTTGATACGTTTTAAGATTTGCAGAAACTTTTTATAGTGGGTTGTGGTATTAAGGCTTGCTCTAAGCTGGGGCGGCAGCAGAGGGGAGCCGAGCGATCCGACTCCGGCCTTTCCCGGACAGTGACTGGTTTCAGCTTCCCCCCGCGAGGTAAAACTCGGTGAGCTGTTTCTCACCCCGTTTCCTTCCAGCTTTCGGCGATGCGTTTTTCTGTCTGAAATCATTCCTGGTGACGAGTTTTGAAACTCTTTAAGGCGTGGGGGACGCTCGGGGCGCGGTTTCCTTTCCCCGTGGGGCTGCAGGAACCCTCCTCGGCAGGAGCGGCGCCGGGGAGCTCCTTCCGTGGTGGCTCTGTCCACGCTGCTGTAGATGTTTTACCCGCTTGGCCCCGGGTTCTGCGCTGCGCCGATGCCCGGGGTGCAGCCGGTGGGAGGATGGAGGGAGCCGAGGTCCACGGCTGCGCTGCGGGCACCCCCGCCCTTCACCGCTTCCCAGCTCCCAGAATTATTTTTTTTCCTAGCAGGATTGATCTAAAACTTAATTTTTGTTGGCTTTTTTTTTTTATCCTTAAGAGCAGGTGGGGCGTTAAGGGAACACGTACCCACAGCCGGGTGTCCTGGCGCTGCCGCGCACCAGGAACCGGGGCGGCAGTGGGTGCCGGTGCTGGGGGGGGGACACGGGGGGGTGGAGGAGAAGCGGGAGGGAACCCCCGTCCCAGGGCTGCGGACGCCGTTTCTTTCTCATCTCACCACCTTTTGGTTTTTTTATTCAGATAGCTGTGACAGTGTTGGGGTTTTTTTAATGGATAAATAACAACAACTGGCCGTTCGTTTTGGTAAACTGAAATTAAGAAATTGTTGCAGAGGAATTCCTGGGGTTGTCCCTTAACCAAACTGGTTTCCTGGTCTTCCAAAATCCTGCTTTAATTTGTGGCAAAGGGAATGAATTTTCTTTTTCCTTTGAAGGAGCTGCTGTTCCAGTCACTGTATTCACTTTACTGCAGTTCTTGATTTCTGCATTGAAATGGTTCGTTAAAGAAACCTCGGGCTAGAGTTGTGCTGGAAACCCACCTCGTTCAGTTGATATTCAAAGCAACTGTCTGGTTTTTTAAATGTCTTTGTTCTTGATTTGTAATTCAGGCAAGGATAACTGCATTATTTAATCTGTATTAACAAACTTCCTGTAATGCTGCAGTTTCACATTTATTTTCCTTACAATTTGTAATTATCATGGAAACAATGTCACTTTTTTGCATTTTACTAGTTGTCTGGTCCATGTTTTTAACTTACCTTCACTAATAGGAACTTTCGGTTGTATCATTTGTTAGAATAAAGACCAAAATACGCTGTTTGATTCTGAAACTGTTCACAACCCCAGAACCTGAGGGGTGCAATTAGCAAGTGGGGGGCTAAAATCACGTTTCTTCAGGTGATGTTTGGGCAGCCAGGGGTGCGCAGCTAATGCTCACACGGACCTGGTTTGCTAGTAAAATAAACTAGGAACAAGGAAATTGCCTCACAGGAGCTCGAGCTCCTCACCCTGACTTGGTCCTTCGGTACCTGCGAATGACTCTCACCACAACACCCATCAAGGAGGTTTACTTTATTGCTAAAAATTGGTTTATGTTCTTGTAGTTCACATATAAATATCCTGCTGACAACAAAAAAGGCACATCTCTGAGGCCATCATGCACCTTGTTTGTGTCTGTTTTTATTTCGTCATGAGAACAATCACTCTCTCCACTAGAAGGAAAAGCCTAGAACGGGTTGTGTGGCACAGACCTCTGTCTACTGGCAAAATACTCAAAACACTTGGTAAAAATTTACATTTCTACAAATTCTAAAAATGACACTGCGTATCTAAATGGCAAATTCGCTTTGCCTGGGGCAAAAGGAGTTTAGAACCCAGGTGGTTTGACTCATCCAACTCAGGCAGTTCCATCCCCAAATTCTCTCCTTTACACAAGGGAGGTTGGGGGTGACAGCACCAGCCTCCGCCAGCCGCCCAGCACACTCACAGCTGCTTCTCTGCCCGTCCTCAAGAAGTGAATGTTCATCTTTCCATGAAAATACAAAAAGTTTTTTACAAATCCACATTTAACATTACTTGTCCCATAACACCCGTAGGTTCCCCTTTAAGCCCATTCCCCCCGAAGCAGAACCCTTCCTTCGTTAGTTGGCCATCCCTAACTCGAGCCCCCAGGGCGGTTTACCAGCTTTGTCCCTCCACTTCGTTTCTGCAGGGATGGAGCTGACAGTCCTTCTAAAATCGGAAGACGAAGCAAAATGCACATTCCTAAATGAAGGAGGTAAAGTTTCGTACATTCAGCGGTGTAAATAAATACCAGCAGAATTTTATAGGAACATGAGTATAAGTTTAAGGGTTTTATTATCAAAGTTTTGTAAAACAATTTCAGAAACTGTACATCGACATGGCACAGACTGTAGCCTACTTTTGTCTTTTTACCTGCACAAAAGTAAAAGCTCTTGAGCTTTTGTAACTAAGAAAACAGCTTGCCTAACTACTTTGCATATAACATGGAATCACTGTGTGCATAAGATTACTACTGCAGTGACAGTAAACACAAATTTATTAGTTTATACAACTTGAGATCAAGTAAAAAGTACATTATCAAGTAGACTTGCTTTTAAAAGCATACGAAGGTCAATTTTAAAATGCACTACCCTTTTTGCAGTGTGTTCAGCTCACTGACAAACCCACCTGGATTATGAACTCTGCACAAAATCAACCTTTAATCACCGGGCACTGTTCAAGCAGAGATTGACTTCCCAAGGCTCAAGAAGAAAAGTTAAGAACCATTACAACTCGCCTGAGATGGATTTGAACTGACATTTAAAAAAAAAAAAAAAAAAAAAAAAAAAAGCCCCCAAAAAGTTTAGTGCATTTTAACTTTGTCAAAGCCAAACAAAACCCACCGGGAAAAACAAAACAAAACCAACCAACCCCAGCCACGTGGCTTAAAAAAAAAAAAAAAACAAACAAAAAAACCCCAAAACTATCTATAACAGAATGCTTATTTTCAGATGTACTGTCGATTTTTGTTGTGTAGTCACACTTAAGACCCTTAAGTAGATCCACCACGTGCGGTAGGACTTCAGAACACTGAGGATGTTTCTGCCACAACCAACATGCAGTCAGTGCATTCCCTCTACTGCTCTAGTACTGCAACGAATCAAAATTCTAGAAACACTATCGTTAAGTGAGCTGATTTACTAAAGGAGATCATACAACAAAACGGTCCATGCCTGCTGGAGATGCATGCAGCTTTGTACTTTTGCTCGAAGCATCACCGAGTTAAACTCGCTCGGCCAGGCAATCCCCCTGGGGCCCTCGCGAGGCTGGTCCCCGCGCGAGGAAGCTTGTGGTGGGAGTTCGGGTCAGGAGATTCACAGACCACGCGTCGCTTAGAGCTGCGCACATCTAGATTGGGGATTAACAAGTACAGCGGAAGAGAATCACACAGGGATGACACTGATGCACGTCGCAGCCGTGCTCGCTGCACAGGCAAAGCTCAGTCACTCATGTCCATGTCCTCTTCATGGTGATCGTCCCCGTTTACTTTGGATTCCCTCGCTGAATCGCCGCTTCCTTTATCAGCGCCGGGCTCCTTCACCTTGGGGGAGGAAGAATCGCCCATTTTCTTTTCCTCCTTTTTCTCCTTCTCGCTGTCATACCCCTGTTCTTCTTCATCATAATCCCTTGTGACCTGCTTTGCCGAGATAAAAAAAAAAAAAAGTGAAACTTTCTTTCAAAGCCCCCGTCGGTTTGAGAGTAACGCCACGGCGCAGGCCGCGAGGTTTAAGCAGGTTTTTAAACATACTTTCACGTCTTTATCGCTCTCGGATTTTCGTTCTCGATCCTTCTCTTTGTCTTTGCTTTTTTTTTTCTTGCTTGTTGACCGTTCCCTCTCATCTCTACTTCTCTCCTTGTCCTTATCCTTCTTTTTTTCCTTTTTATGTCTACAATGACAAGAGTTCACCAAAGAATTAAAACCACCAGCACACCGGTCTGTACCTAGAACACAGGCCGTGTCCGGACTGCCACCCGCAGGTCGCCACAAACCTGAGGGGAGAAGCAGCAGCATGCAACTAAGATCCACCATTCGCTTTCAGAAAATAAGCAAACACCCGGATTCAGAAAATAAGCAAACACCCGGATTCAGAAAATATAAACAAACACCCGGATGCAGAAAATATAAGCAAACAGCCAGATGCAGAAAATAACCAAACATCTGGATTCAGAAAATAACCAAACACACCCGGATTCAGAAAATAAGCAAACACCCAGATGCAGAAAATAAGCAAACACCCAGATGCAGAAAATAAGCAAACACCCGGATGCAGAAAAAATAAGCAAACATCTGGATGCAGAAAATATAAGCAAAGACCCGGATGCAGAAAATAAGCAAACACGTGGCTCAACCAGCACAAAGCAAAGTCTAAGACGTGCCGCATTAAGAGCGGCAGCACCGTGGCGGGGTGCAAGGAGCAGCCCCGCGCTCCCCCCGGGGAGAGAAGGATCACAGAGTGCCCAGGCCCACTGCCCGGGAACTCCGGGGGCCTCCTCCTGCCCCCCACCCCCCCGGGCCCCTCAGGACTGGGGCCGGGCCCCCCCGAGGCGAGGGAACCACCACCAAAGCGGTAGCAGGCAGCAGGGATCCGCCCCAGGCTCTCGAGAGGGAACGAGCCAAACGGGCACCACGTTCAAAATAACCCCCCCCGGTCACCTTCGCTGTGGCTCCTATCTGGGGGATTTTCCACCCAGACACCATTTATTTTAGCCAAGAGGTTCACTGACCTTCTTGGGGATGGGGATCGGGACATTTTCCTTTTAGGAGACCTGGGTTTTTTAGGCGACCGTGTTCCGCTCCTGCTTCTTCTACGTCGTCTTTCTCTGCAGGCAGGAAAAATCAAAGCTTGCATTTTTAATTTTTTTTTTTTTTTTTTTCTCCCCTCCAATTAAAGCTACAAATACATCTCTGGCTCCAAAACCAGCACTGCTCAGGAGGTAGCAAATACGTGTAACCTGAAATGGCCCTTGACTATCAGCAGTGCTGCGAAGCCCACGCGGCTGCTGACCAGCAGAGCAAGTCGCTCCCTGTTCTCCCTCCACCTTCGTGAACAAACCGCTAGCTTCCGCTGTGCTAGGGATACCGACTCTCTTGGCAAAGAGAGACAAACCACTTTGGTTCCTGTTAATATTGCAAGATGATTTGGGAGGCTTTTTAAAAAAAAAAAAAGAATGGCACTCATTTGCATGTATTTATGCCACAAATCAGAAGAGTTTAACAGTGACCTCTAAGCGCTGCACTCTCCCTGACCGAGAGGAAGTAGAAGCTCTTTAAGCCCAAACGATACCACCAGGAAACTGCAGTATCAGGGAAACAAATCAAGCATCTTCTGGGTGAAGAGAGCGTACACACGTGTGTACACACACCCAACTTATCCACAACAGAATCAGCATCCCATTACGGCCAGGAATGTCCTTTCTGTTGAAGTGGATAAAGCGTGCTGGAAATAGAGACCAAGGAAAACTGCCACGTTACTGTACCTGCTTGTGCTTCTTGATCGTCTAGTTGTGCTGTAGCTTTTGGGGGGAGTTTTAGAGCGTTTCTTTTCTTTCTCTTCCTTCTTTTTATCCCTTTTAGTAAAATACAGACTTTAAGTCATTTTCAAACTATTCAAGTAGCATTCACTACTTTTGCTATGTAGGAAAACGAAGGAAGACATGATCACTACTGAACAGTATCTGCTATCCAGTGTATTTCTGGGGCCACTCGCATTGTATTAAGGGAAACAAGGGTTACAATTATCTACAGCAAAATAAAGGTCAGCTCTTTGATAGCTTCTGTGTATGAACAGCACAAAACCTGCCAGTCGGGCCGCTCGCGTCTCCTGCTCTCCAAAGGCAGCTGCTGAGCACCTCACCTAACGCCTGCTGCTCCTGCTGACCCTCGGGAAAAGCACGGCCTGTGTTTTTATCTAACGGTGCACACGGGTAGGGCAAGCGTACCGGAACCCCGCACGGCCTTACGAGACACTGTGACTTCAAAAAGAGCCACTAGTTCATTTTGCCCTAGGTTTTTTGTTTGTTTGTGGGTTTTGTTCGCTTGTTTGTTTTTCATTAATCACCAAAATTTAACAGTTTATCTTCTAGCAAATAGAAGAGATTGACTGAAGCAATTACCTGGTTTTGGATGTGCTCCTAGACCTTCTGCTTCTCTCTCTGGAATGAGATCTTCTTCGCCTTGGACTTTTAGATCGCCTCCTGCTTCTTGATTTTGAGTGGGACCTTCTCCTCGATCTGCTTCTTGACCGTCTACCAGTAACACATTGCACATGGGAGTTAAGTACATGAAATTTTGATGTGTTAGTCAGAATCCATCTGCTCAGCCCTAACGGTATCGTCATGCACAGTGACATAGAAAACAGAAAAAAGGAATATAGAAAACAGCAACGGAGCCGCACCGAGTCCCTCGAGGAAATGGAAAGAGGAAGTGCACAAACGCTGGGTTCAAAGAACAAGGATGCTTCAGTTGGCTCTTATTACTCTCCTTGTAAGAAAGTACCAGGCCTATCGTAGAGAAAAACTGCTACGTCATGTTGAGATGTGAAGAAATTTTTAGAACACTTAACCAAATGCAAGCCAGTTACTGAATATGCAAATAGCCAAGAGCGGGAAGGCCACAGCTGCAACAGCCTCGCCGGCCCGCGCTGATTGGAGCTGCCAAGCCAACCGGCATCAATGAGCCCCGTGGCCTTCTGTTCAGGTAGGACGGTATTAAGATCTCTAGTCAGGCTACCTGACCAGACCTGATCTCTCTGAGTAAATCATAACCTAGAAAATGCAGGGAAAACTCTTGTCCCACAGCCTTCCGCTACGCTGAATTTGCTGCACGTACTAGAAGCAAACAGCCCAACAGGTAAACATTGATGTGCACAAACGACAACACTCAGAGAAGCCTCCTCGTACCCGGCTTTACAACAAATTATAATTAGCACGCTGGAAGGAGACTGCAGGAAGAACAGAGGCTCAAGGAACTACTGTAAAGTGGGCAGCCTGCAATGGCTCGGGTGCTGACAGTAGGGAGGGCTGGGTAAAACCAAGGCCCTGTGCTGAGGTCTTCCTTATCTGACACAAGAAACAATGGGCTGTTAACTAAAACCAAAGTTCAAACGCTGCTAGGACGAGGTGCCCTGAACTTCTTTCTGCAGTAGTTTAAGGTATTTTTGAGGCACTTTTTGCTGTCGTCTCTCCCCACCCCCCCCGCTTTCTAGGAAGCCAGAGGCAGGCCCCCATCTCACACCAGCGCAGCCAAGTCCCAGCCTCAGCTTTCTCTTGCCTTCTTCCACCTGCCAGCCTCCACGAGTGAAGGGTCAACCTCCAGGAAGTGTTTCTGAAGGAACTATTTCGGCTCGGTGGGGTGGGGTTTTTTTTAAAGCAAATAAGCTAACTACCTGTGTCGAGATGAAGAAGGTGTCCTCCTCCTCCTTGAGCGTGACCTTGACCTTGAATGCCTTCGTTTTTCATCTTTTTTGTCTGGAGTTAAAAAGGAAAAGCATAGTAAAGAGCCCAAAGTTATTTTAATATTCAAAAAGATTTTACAAAGGAAAGGAATTTGAGCTTCACGCTACAGATATAAATAAGAAAAAGAAAACCTAGGGAATATTTTGACATTTGAACTTAAGGCTTACCTATCCTTTTCCTCTAAAGATTGCGGACACGAAGAACGAACACACGACAAAGACACGTATGTGACATAAAACCAACAAAGTTTTATGCAAAACTGAAGAAGTCAAAATACAGAAAATGTTGGAAAGTCTTGTTAAAAAAAACCTCATAATCTCTGCCATTTTGTGAAAGACTAAAGAATCTCTTAAATTATTGTTCTGAATTTCCCACAAGCCAAGCAATCAGCACGTCTTTCTGGTACAATAAAAGAACAGGAGCTCTACTTTCCTGAAAATGATCAGGAAGCTACAAAACTCTTTTCAGTGTTCCAAGTTACTGCTTCTCAGAGTTAGTGAATCTGACATTTGTGAACTGCTGCATCTTGTTCTAAAATACAATCTATTGAAATAAGCTACAAAAAAAACACCCCAAAATTATAAACTTCCTCAGATTAGGAATTAAAAGCTATCCTCCCCAAGAACAAACATCACTAGGATGTCAAGTGGTTAAGCCACTTGCTGCGTCCAAGGAAATCTGAGATGGCAGTATGAACTTCAATCAGGGGAAGCTCAAGCGTTTTGCAGTCTTCATATCAAGTGAATTTGGACAAAAACAACAGATGATTAATTCCCTGCTTCATTCTGCAGGACATAATGCAGCATTCACACTGGAGGTCAATGAAAAACCTGTCAACTATAAATTAAGTCACTATAGGACATGAAAACATTAAGCCAGTATTTTGCAGACCATTAACTTTTATCATATACTGTGTCAAAACTCCGTCTTGAATTGCATGAAGTATTCTATGATTTAAAATTACCTGGCTCTATAGCAGCAGAGATTAACGACTGTGCTTCTCGTACTCTTTTCATAGCTTCTTCTATCTCTTTACTGGAGGTATCGGATTTCAGACTGGGTGAAACAAGACCTGCAGCTACATGGTTCAACCTGGTAAATACAGGAGGATTTCAGAAATTCAGTATTGATGGATCCAAGAAATACACACCTCCGTTGTCAGTCTGCAGCCTGTTCAAAGTGACTGATCCAAGCAATTCCGAACCTGCCAGCATTCTGTCACTGTTCAGACACCAGAGTAGTAAGTCTGAGATGTGACACTCGTGCTGGAAACAGCGGCACGAGATACTAGCACGCGCAGCGCTCAGAATTCCAGCCAGCTGCAGAGAGTCGTGCATTCTAACGACGCTTTTCAGAACCTTTTTGTACAACACAATTTAAATTCTCATCCCCTGGAAGAGCAGCGCCACAGGAAACCGCACGTTACACGGTAGAAAGCCGGCTTCCACTTCTGTAAGCCGTACCGAGACGCCTCCGAGCACGGATGAAATGCCAAATTTGGAAGGTGTGTTCTACACGGTGGCTTTGAAGCCAAGCAGGTATAGCCAATACACCTGACTGATGTTTACCTAACCCCTAATCTTGGGGAACTCTTGTTCCATCAGTTAGGCATTCCCTGCTTAGAGAAATGTCAATGTAAAATAAGAGAATAATACGCTAGCACGTATTAAAACCAAAGACAGATCACATTTATAGCATTATCCCCTGGTATAGATCAGACGGCTCTAACAATTTAAAAACACTGGATGAGCCAAAGAAGGTCAGAAGCCCCTTTAGCTAACACAGCAGCAGGGCAAGCACACACTGACATGCTTGCCCGAGGCTGAGAGTTTAAAGAACTCTCCCCCCCAAGCTTCCTGCAAGTGGCAGTACAAGGGCTTTCGGAGGCACGTGTGGTTTCTTTGCCTTAAATACACTTCCCATCTACTAATCTAATAATTAGCTTTTTTCCAGTGGCACATGCTTTCCTCATCCTCTTGCAACATTTCAGTAGCTTAACGGCACGCTGATGCATTAACTGCCACAACCTTTCCCTACCTGCTGTCCCCATGCCATACTATTTTGAACAAAATTATCCTTTTTCTGAATACTGAAATAAAAACTAGCAAATACTTGTGCTTGCTCTTATTTGCTCCCTTTTTCTACCACGCAAGAAGACATACTGTCTGTTGTTATTGCCTGAGAGCAGTAACACACAGACCCTTTTATTCTTGTCTTTTACATTATGAACACAAAAGTGACAAAAGTAACATACAAAAAACCTGAATTTCTGTCTCTACCAAAATAAAATCCCAGAGATTAACTGGTGTTATTCTGTAGATGAAAGGCTGAATAATCTTCATTTCCTCCCCCCTCTTCTCTCTACCACAGAAAAGGGTCTGCACAAGACCCCCAAGGCACCACTCATCTCCAACCTTAATTAGATCCAGCAGGACAAAGATTGGATCCGAATCACGACAGATATTCCCAAGGTCAAGTGTACCGTGATACAAGTATTTGTAAACACTGATGCTTACTTTGGATCCACTGTGCTCATAAGTTTCAGTAGTTGATCTGCTGCAAGAGACTGTGAGGGGAAAAAAAAATAAGTTAAAACCGTTTTGGGCGATGTATATGCTTAAGAAGATTATCTTCCCTGAATGTACCCTCAGCAGTGGGCAAAAAAAAAAAAAGTCTCTACAGACAAAAAAACCCAAAACACCCCCCAAACAAGTTACAGGCAGAAAGGCACATTGTTCTCTTCCAAAACTTGTGGATGGTGGTGAAGGTGTGAACATCCCATTTCAGCGGTGCTGACGTACTTTTTTTTTTTTTTCCATAGCAGCCAAACACAGGCCCTTCCCTGGACAGAATCAAAGCACTTTAAAATGAAAATACACTTCTGGTATTTACAGGTTATTTCTCGGTTACTTCAAGAGAACAGAGAACTCATTAGAGACTAAGTTGCCTGTCCATGGCAAGTCCTCAATGTCAATTTATGAACAATACACAAAAGCTTCTTTACTCTCAAGATTCCACAAAAAAATATATTTTACAGCTCTTTGGAAAATCCAGGTATTATTACAATTGGTCACATCCTGTCCCAGTGGTGTATTAAGAACAAAAAGCTCAGTCCCTACTAATTTTCTTTATACAGATGCAGCCACGTGCTGAACCCAGTTGGCTTAAAGCACAAAGGAAACAAGCCTTCGTTACACCAAATTTGTATTTTTCTAACATGCATTTAGAATGCTTCTTTTTTCCATTTCTTATTTAATTATCACCATTAGTTGCTTGCTACTACACATCGCATGCATAAAGACAATGCTAAATGATGGATTTCTTAGAAATGCATTAAATTATTATTACTTCTTGTCCCTATCAGACATGTTCTCTGTACAGTATTTGGTTCATATATCTTAAATATTAGCTCAATATTCTACTCAGTACTTAAAGTCTTTTTTTATTCAGTTTTAAAAAGACTACCATCTAACAAAGTCTCCTCGGCATCTTCCACACCTACAGAATTGAAAGTCAAACCGTGATTATTTTTACTGTAAGTACAAGATGGGTTCATAGCTTGATAAGGACACGTATTTGAAGTATTTCATTACTAGTCCCAAATTATTTTTGAAGTCCATCCAGCAGGTAATCTGATACTCCTACAGATACTACTTATTCCAAACAGAGGCTCAGAAAAATGATTTTAACAGGCAGTGGCTGTTAAACTGACATAAACGAAAATTACTTTTAAAACAGAAAAGAAGGTAGCAAAAGAAGAGTGTTCATAAATAAACCTGCTATGCCAAGAAACAGAGACTACATTCTGTAACAATTCTAAGAAGTTTAAAGAACCAACAGCCTCTGCAGACTACACTGAGGCGAGCCTTTAATAAAAAGGAGTATTTTGTAAACACTTCTTCAAATCTAGCTACAGTATTTCCAGATCTTCAGCTTGTTATTTAATATACTGGTGAACACGAAGGGCATCACGTGTGCTACTCGAACCACACGTGCTAGGGGCAGTAATGAAAATTTCAGAACGTGTGACATACCTGAGAGTTTAAGTTTGCTCCGGGAAGCCCAAGAGCAGCTAGGGCAGGATCAAGAGCAGGAGCTCCTAAAGCAGCTAAAGGAACAGCACCAATCTGTAACGAAGACAGCAATTAGGCAAAGCCACAGTCGATCGCTAACAGCTGCTAGACTGAGATTTCACAGCACCAGACACGTGGAAACGTGAACTGGGCTTTACCTGGGCTCTAGCAACAGGAAACATTATACTAAGGTCAGCGAGAGTCATTCTGTTTTCCTTACTTGGGTATTCCAAAACTTAGTAGATGAAAGATTTTATTTTTCCTACAAATATTCTGAAAACATTCTGTTTCCTCTGCATCCCAGCAGGCAGGAAAAAAAAAAAAAAAAAGAAAAAAAAAGTAAAGCATTCCACCATGTTCAAAAGTTTAAAATTAAATTATTTTCCAGTGTTAAAATGAAAGTTCACTGTAAGTTTGAGCCAACTATCGCATATCTAAATCAATTTATGATTGAAATGAACATGTTTGATGTTAAAAGACAATCTAATGTTATTACATCTCTAAAAACTTCTCAAATTTAGGTAAAACTCGCCAATGGCCAGCATAAAAGCAGCAGGAGGAAGGCGTATTTGAGAGCAAGGGAGCAGACCCTTCCACCTGCTGACAGCGAGTTTCTCAGTTAGCCGGTCTCCTGAAACCGCGTAGGCTTGGCCCTGCAGTCTCAAACGGAAAAGCCACGTTCCCACACGCTGATTTTGTGAACATAAACTTCAGCTCTAACCCTGTTTTTACTGAATCTGATGCCCAACTCCCAGTGACAGCCAAAAGGAGCTACAGAGCACGCCTTCTAGATGTTGACAGAAATAACCACCCACTACAATTCTCCATAAAGTGGATGCGTTAAATAAATTCTACCATTAGGTGGACTGGGAGTAGGCTGGGATTCAGCGTGGCAGAACTAAAATGGTTCAACCACCATTTTCCGGAGTTTATATACATACAGTTTTCGGTGAAAGAGATCTTTAAAGATGATACTTGTTTCTTCCATGATTTTCCTCGAGTTTCAAAGTTAAACTTTAGACTTTTCCCTCTACATACAGTTAGAGGGACCTTCGAAACAACTCAGTGGCAAGTGTACCTTTCATGCAATCAGGAATCATAACAGAAGCTACACAAAGAAGAGCTAAGCACAAGGTGAAGAAGTAGATTTGAGGACTGCAGATTTAACGATGCTTTATTCTAACTAATTTGCCTCTTGAACTTGGATTCTGTTCTCTAACAAGGTATGTGCTCTGACTGAAACTCTTTGCGCAACGTAATATTCTTACTATTCGTTTTCCACGTAAATTCTCGTTGGATAGAATAAAAATATTTATATATTATATAAATATATTTGTATATTTAGATAACAAGCAAAAACAGGCTACAATTTCTTCCCCTCAGTTGGAATATAAATGGCAGGTATCTCCACAGCCTGTCAACTGCCTGAACTTCACCAATTTAAATCTACGAGATCTCTACAGCTTGCCAAAGCTGTCTGCGAGCGCACGACAGCTGAGAGATACAAACCCAGGGCCCAGAAGCATCCCGTTAGGGAAACAGAAGTACCCCACCCAGCAATGAGTTGCTGGTTTGCCACAACTCCTATCAGATAGCTGTAACGATCCGTCACGGCATGTAAACTGAAAATGTTCTAGGAGCCAGCATGAGAACACCACCCGGAAAAAACCCAGCGGGAAGCACGTTGGAATCCAACGGAACACATCCCATCGTTTGCCGCGCCAGCGCTGCGCCTACCTGAGAGAGTGGGTTGGGAGTAGGCAGGAGTCCGCCTCCCGGCAGCAGACCTGCCACAGCATTAGCTGGTGCCAAGAGAGACAAAGCCTTAGTCTCATCAGGAATAACTCCTGCAGAGAAATAGCCTTGCATTAGGACACGTCCCATTCCAAAGGCAGAAAATACACAAATACACCCAGAAAATGTCTCCCTGATACACCACCTGAGTTTGTTGAAAGTACTTATGTTGGCTAAAATACAAAGCTTGATGTCTATTAATATTTATCATTAATTTTTTGTCAGAATGAAACTTCAATGTGTGAAAATTTGACTGTTCCTTTTTCTCTACAAATGGTTAAGTTTCTAGAGCAAAAAAATAGCACAATACACACTACTTTTTTGTTAACACTGCCAAGATTTCATCACCTGTACTCGATTTTTAAGTCATGAACCAAACGTAAGCAAGCACAGTCGGTTCTCCAGGGGTGTGCTCTCAACTTTCAAAAGCTGTTTTATGAACAACGACTCGTGTCGGCTGCTTCACTATAAAGCACACAGAAAAATCAAGATACACAAGACAAAAAAAGTTTGATTTAGGGGTTAATAATATGGTACAGTTCACTATGTTTTCTTTTACACCTACCATATAAATTTTGTAAAACTTAAGAGAAGGTATGGAAATATTTTTTTTGCTGAATCAAGCGTAGGGCTTTTGCTGACTTGTCAAATGAAAATGAGTCTCTGCAGATCTTCAAATGCACGCTGTGTATGTGTGTCTGTGGGTGGATGGGTGCATACATACAGTATATCGTGGCACATTCCTTACCTGTGCAGTAAAATGCATTTGTTCCAATATGTGCCATGCTTATTGTACCAAGAATGCTGCTACACACTGCCATTTCAGAAGAAACTTCTGGCCCAAAATCTTGCAGCCAACTAAGACAAGCGTCTTATTTCACTGCCTGCTCTGCACATATAATTTTAAGGGTCCTACTACGAAACAAGTAATTATGTAGGTATTTTTATTCTATCCAACAGCAAAAGCCCTATACAGATGGATTAATTTGTTAATGTGCCCAAGCCCCCAAAATGAGAGTTCAATAAAACAATTTTACTATATATTTGCAAATACCAGTAGTGTTTCTGTAATACATATTAAGAAACTGCATCTCATCATAAAACATACAATATGTACAGGGCACTTAAGAGAAACTGGATAAGCTGCAGAAGAAAACTGTTGGGTGGTATTTTCAGCAGGGCCTGGTATATAGTTCAGGCTGAACCAGGGAAAAGAACTGTAAAACACAACAACAAAAAAGAAAAACCACTGTTAAATAAAGGTAATGGTTCCTTCCACCTATACTGAGAAGTGCCGATAATATAAACAAATGTATAATACACAGCACTGTTATCTTGCTTGTGTCATTGAGCTGTCATCAATTTAGATAGCAAAAGTTATGGAGGGAGAGGGGGGGAAAAAGGTCATTTAGATAAAGGGCATTAATGCATAAATATATTAACATACCTACAGAGAGATTATGGGGTAATTTTGCATGCAAAATTATGTCTCAGAGGATATTTATAAATTATATCTAAACATTTCAAATTAGTGCAACTATAACATTTCTGGCATCTAAATACAAATCCTCAGACTTATCTTGAGACACCTCATAGAAGATCTGCATCCATTAAAAAAAAAATCATGCATCTGATCCTCTAATTGTTTTTTTAAAAAGTATTTAGAAATAAATAAACTACAATTTAAAAAAAAAAAGCAATGAGGCCCCTCACCAGTTAATTTTCATGCTTCAAGAGTTTTTTTTACTGCTGCTTTGTTAGAACCATGAAATACTGCATGAATGTGTAGAAATGAAAGAAAAAGAAACAGACAAAAGAAACAAACATTAACCAAAGAGCCTAAATACCCCCCCCAGCCACCTTTAATCTTAGAGTTCCTTCCAAATCTAGGAATAGCACAGTGAAAATTACAAATACTAAACCTTACCGTAGACTTTGTGTATAGTTCTATAACACAAAGCAACAGCCAACACCAAAATGTCTGTGTATGCTAAACCTGGAGTGCGCTTGTGGTATAGGGGATAATTATTGCACTAAACAGATAATAAACATTGACTTTAGTGACAGGCAATATTATTAATACAGAATTATCACAATAGAAAAGAAAAGATAAAAGGGCCCAGTTCAGCACAGTAGTTAAGCATATGCCTGGCTTTAAGCACATGAGCAACTTCACTATGGTTTTAAGAAACTTGCTGTATCGTGCTTAAATAGCTTGTTGAATTGGGACCCTGGCAGTATGCATTTGCAGGGAAAACTATACTCCAGCACAGGGACAAAAGCATATGATTACAAAACCAGGGGCATAACTTCATTGGCTGAACATGGCTTGTGATACGCCACATCATTATGCCAAAACCATCAACATTCTGAACCGCTAGAACACCACAAGAAACAGCCCATGAGGAACTCCTGGATTTAAACAGGCCCATTGAAATATTCCACTTTATTCATTTTATTTTCTTTACACAATCTGAGCCAAAACTACTGGGCAGATTATGTGCCAGATTTATCCACCATCGAGCACAATGGACAAAGTCAGACTGACAAAGAGAAAAAAAACGTTTTTATCCTTATTGGAAAAGTTAAGCACTAACATTCTTCACCATGGGCCTTGGAGAATATTTCAGTACTAGCTCAGATGGACTGTTGCTATATAATTCTTTAATACAAAGACGAGGACAAGATGCCTTTCACCTATGCTATTATACCTAAACGAGCAAAAGCAGAAGCAGTAACTCGATGGCAATTTTGGAATGTGTTCTGTACTCTGAAAAAGCAGCACATCTCAACCAAAGGTCATGCTGCAGATTCCTACATTCCAGAAATTAAGTTTTCATTTCTTTTAAGTTTAAGGAACATAAAGATAAGACAGCTCCCCAGGCCTCAAAAGACAGCCTACGGCATTACAGTGTCTTGATTATAGGTCTGACCCCAGGCCATGTACCACATTTATTACTGTAGTATGACTTAATCTGCAGAGATTTTATTTCATTCAAGCGATCTGGGAAAATCCATTATTTCAGAAGTAAATCAAGAAACAGTACAATGGAAATCAATTACTTCTAAAGCAAGTCTAGAAGAGTTTAATAAGACTTCTGTAAGAAGAGGTGTCTTCTCAGCACTTTGTTTTTAAGGTAAGTTCCAAAAACCCTGCTCATTGCCTTTCAAATTACTGTAACACCCTAAAATGTAAAAATAAAAAGAAGAAGAGAAAATGTAGTTAACAAGTGGTTACACCAGGAAAACACTTGGGGACTTGAGTGCTTGCTGGCCTTTAGTTAATGTCTAGAATCCCCTGTAGCTGCAGAGGACCCACTGTTTTTCAGTCATCTGGAAGGGCTTTGCATTTGCCTTCTCCACTACAAAAATCACACACACAAATAACAGAGAGAAGAGTTTATTATTTAGTGAAATTCTATAAAATATATCAAGGATGAACAAGAAAACTTGGAATAAAAAACTAGTACCAGTGCCCATTTGGCACCTCTTGGAAGAGCTCACTTTCAAATTAAACCATAATTATTCAAACCCTTGGTATACTGGACTTTGCAATGAGAGCGAGTGCCTTTTCAGGGAAGCTCCCAATTAAATTCAGTGGCAGCGTCTCTCAGAGAAATGTCAATCTACTCTCCCGTGCACTCTCAGGGAGGGAGAAACCAGTCTCATGAAGAGATCTACACCTATGTGAAAGTGGCAAACACTTAATTAAGGCAAAACGTCCTTAAAATGTTGACCTGTTTGCCTAAGTCTGTTTAGGAAAATGTCTCACTGAGACTGATAAAGAGCAAAATTTGCAAATAACTCTGCCTAAAATGTTAATATTCTAAACTTAAGACACACAAAACCAGTAAGAGGTAAACTTTCCACTTTCATTCAGTGTCACTAGATTAAAAAAATTATTTAATCCATGGGCCAATGGCAATATACCAAGGGTTTCAAAATGTTAATATCTTACAGGTTTGACATTTTACTAATCCTCATTTTTGTGAACTATACTGGAATAAAATGCCATCGTACGGTGGCTTCATAGACCATTAAACAATTCACAAACCTTCTGCATATGGTACGACTATCAACGCTCTGTCAACGAATACAGTGTTTGTCAGATGCTGGGCCACAACTGCCGAGTCAGGATCATGGAACTTTACAAAACAGACACGCGATGAGACAGGCAAAGGAGAATCACTGAAAAAGAAAGAAATAAATTACTTGGATGGACGCGAGTCTGACAGTACGAAACTTGTAGCTTCTATTGTTTCCCCACTTTCACCAAACCAGGAGGTCGTGGGGGACTATGGGGGACTTCTCCACACAAGAACACAACCTCAGGTTTTGTATCAAACATCATTTTGCACAACCACAGACACAAAATTACACTGAATGAAACCAATTCACTGTAAAATTGCATAAATAGTTTTACTGCCCCACTGGTAACTGGACTTTAATTCTCTTATGCACAATCTATCTATGACCAGTCACCCAAACACAATTAGTTGTCATGACCTGTCTGCAAGGAGGCAAGGAGACAAAGAAAAAATTTGCTCAAGAAAGATAAAAAGTTATCTACTATATATACTTCATAAGTTAACAAAAACAGTAGTTTTACACTCACTGTTTTAGGCCCCAAATTACTTATTCCAGTAAATTACGAAGCAGTGGTTAAACCATGACAGAAATGAAGAGGGTAATGATCAAAAGACCACTACGGTTTTACTCATCAACACAATTTGATAAAAGCTTCCAGACCAAACCTCATCATGCTGCTTCTCACACATACGGAAACTGCCAAGTTCATTCTGAAGGGATGCACGCTGCTGAACACGTGGCTGCCATTCAGCAGCAGCAGCACGAACCATGGAGAAATTCAAGAAGCTGAGGTAGGCAACACTACCCTTGAAATCTCAGTAGTGGGTGAGAAGTTCCTAAACAACCGATCAGTAAACATAGATCTCTTTGCAAGATAGGTCTGGACCTACTCTACAGCTCAACGTGAGCGCCTGTCAGAGGAGCCGCATAAAGAACCCCAGACATGGAAAATCCAAGAGAGAATGCAGAAGTTTTGAGTCACTAAAAAAAAAAAAACAAACAAAACAAAACAAAGCAAAAAAATATCTACTTCCTAAAACAGGAAAGAACTGTAGGTCATACAGCTGTGCCCCCCTCACCTTCTCTGAAACAAAACAAAAGCAAATCCTCAAAATCCAGAGCCAGAACGAAGCCGGTAAAAGTCCAGAATGGGTTTCAAAAGTCCACATATCCTAAAAATGGTGCAGATTTTGCTTTAATCAGACGTATAAACTAAAAGACAGCAGGAAAAATTGCTATGCAGACACAACCGTGCAGCAGATGAGCGAAAAACTGCCTCCAGAAGGCACAGGGCAGGTACTGAAAGTAGTAGCAAGTCCTAAAACCCTAGTTCCTAAACAATGCCGGGGTACACGTCCTGTTCAGTTCTGCCCCCAGGTACCAGAGGTACAAATTAGCCTAACGAGGTAGCTTGGAAAAACAGCCACTGATTCTTCATGGCAAAGATCTACCTTTACCAACTAGATTCCCAGAAACAGTTATAAGACTAGCTCTTCAAAAGGCATCCCACTGCCAAAACAATTTTATCTGGGTTGAAGAACACTGATCAAGTCTTTAAGCACTGAAAGTGCAGAGTTGTCAGAATTCAGGAGAAAGGAGAATGACTTTGACATTAACAAGACTGACACCCAAGATCTATTTTTGTTAGTGCAAACACCAAACTACCTAACCTCCAGCATGCCTGAGCACGGGCTCAGCCCAACACACGGGTTATGCAAACTCAAGAACTGTCCTAAACGTTTAATATACTTCAAATTTAACCTGATGTTAAAAACTAGATTGAAGACAGAGTACTGCAGCTCTTAAAATACTAAAATTAGAAACATCCACTTCCTCCAACAGCTTGCGGATTTAATTGGAAAGTAACATTGTAGCAATAAATGGCAAGAGATAGAAAATTGAAACAATTAGTTCTTTTGTATCTATGAATCCTTGACAAAATGGTGCCTTCTAACTATTTGCATGAGAACATAAAAACCACAGCAGCATAAGCAGAGTGTTCAACAAAATCCCAGCAGTAAAATTTCAAGGAAAAGTAAATCAGGGAGTTCTGGCATACCTGAATGGTATAGTAATCTCAGTTCTAAAAAAATGGAACCATTTATTACATAAATGCAGTACAATATTTTTAAATATTCTTAAAATGTCTGTGATAAAATGGGAACGTGAAACATGTTTATACACGAGTACCACTATGTACTAACCTGTACAGCTAGCTGAATCTACAAAAACAACTGAAAATACGCAAGGCTATGCTCAGGCAGCCTGACATTTCATACAGATCACTGCATTTCATTTTTAAAGATGTATTTCCAGTCACTCTAAAATCCAAGCCGTGGCTGAGCAAAATTCATCAGGAACAGAATGTTCTCAACAGTTACCAAAAAAAGGCCATCATTATTCTAATTCACCAGAGATCGAAAAATTTAGTAATTCTCTCTCTGGCTTCATGCCAACGAATACTGAGACACACGACGATTTACTGGGACTGGTGTCTGAACAGTGCACCCATTCTGAAGTGCAGCAGATAACCAGAGAAACCCAACCGTTGTGTCGTAACCTCCAACGACTCGCTCCAACAAAGTTCCTTCATACTGCAACCAGCATCTGAAATATCATATCTGGCTTTTTTTTAAGGGACATTTCTACCAACTACATAGACATTGTTACTGGCATTATTACTGATGTAAAACCAGGCTAGAATCACGCTGGAGTGAACAGACTGTCCATGCAAGAGATGTTTTTCAGTATTACCACGTTCACTGGGTGGGAAGAGACAGAGTTTAAAAAAAACACAACCCAAAAAAGAACCAACCCATGTGCTTCACTTCGAAACAGAAGTTGCCATCCTTTTCACAGCAGACCAGTTACCAGTGGCAACCGCAAGCAATGCCCGTATTCTGACAGAGTCCTTGTATAACTTTCCTCAGCAGATATTGGACATGGCAAAAGATCTTGCCGATTACTATTCCTTCCGACATAAGCAATTAAGGATGCTCCTCATTTTATCAAGCTTTAACTCTATAGACTGTATTTTCCGTCAGATGTGATTTTTTATTGGTAAAATTCTCTATCCATAAAAATTTGACTGGATCATTCAGATCTAAAGAGCAAGATCAGAGAACACATTGGTTTCTCTATCAAACACCAGCGGCACATGACCTTTTCTGTTCAAGTTTCAGAGCAGAAACTTAAGTTTTGATGAAAGGCAGTTTTCATATGCAAAACAGAATATGCTGAAGTCAGCTTATATATATATATATATATAATGTCCATACACACTTTTTTTTATTAAAAAAAAAAAAAAGCGTTCTCCAAAATCCATTCCCTCCACAGTTTTGCCCACCACAGAGGATTAAGACACGTGGACTACAATAAAGGCAAGAACCAGGCAATGGAGTTGGGGAAAAGCAGAAGGAGGGAAGAAAGGGTTGAGGAGGAAAAATGGAAGAAGTCAGAGCTGCTTCTGGACTAAAGATGTAATATGAAGCTGAGGGATACATAAAATGTGTAATAACTGATTAAAGAAACTAGGATAAGGAGATGGGTGAGGGAAGAGAAAGAGAAACAGAAACATGAAGAAGCTCTGGAAGTTATATCTGATCTGGAAGCCCAGAATAAGGAACTTCTACAGGGGACAGCAGAATCAGAGTGACCACGAAAAAGATCAAATAGGGAGGTAGAGCAATGGAAATGGAACTGGTTGCTCAGAAATACTATATGCAAGAAAGAATCCCAGTATAGTCTGGGACATAAAGAGATTCAGATGGTGGAGAGAATTTTCATTTTATTATTTATATCCTGTACCCCCCTCCAAAAATGGATCAACACCACAAGCAGGAAAAAAGTCAAAACCTGAAGTTTAAAGGTGAAGGAACAGAAAAGACTTTAGAAGAAACAGATAAAACAACCTGCCATGATTAGAAAATACACTCCTCTTCAGTGTAAAAGGATATCAGAGACCCTAAAGCATTCTGAGATCAGATCCCTGAGCATGCCAGAGGAGACCCACAGAGTGTCTAGAGGTGCCAGAGCCCATGGCATCTCTGTATGGACAGCAACACAAAGGAAATGACACACAAACCTCCTACAAATAGCAAGGGTAAAACTTAACCCCAGTCAAAAAAAGCGCCTGCTCTAGTATCAACTGCACAACCTTTCTAGAGAGTATTCAAGAATGCTATTTTTCCACCAAGACATACATTCTAGAATGAAGATATATAATAATATAAACATTCAGTATTTTCTACATCTCCTGCACAAGGCTTATTTA